TCATTTCCAGAATTACATAAAATTTTCAACGTAAATAGGACTACAATTGGTATTGAATACAGGATGTTCCAAAACTCTGTTCTTTTATCGCAAGAAGGAAAAAGGCTAAAGATATATGTATATACGCATCCCGTATTAGATTAGATATGCAGGGTTGTGCAAAGATGCCGGAAGGACTGGTTCCTATCGCCTATTGTGGAAATTTTTAAACAAGAATACCCAGAACTATCAACGACAAAAAATTTAAATTAGTTATTTTTAAATATCTAGAAATTGTACTAAATAAATTAAATATAGTGTTGTTAAATTAGAGTTTGATTCCTGTTGTTACTTAATAATTGAATAGCATTCACGCAAAAGTGGATAAATGCAAATTTGTAATTTTTGAGTTAGGTATGGATTCGGCATCTAAAAGCAAATATCTATCAATATTTTCATCAACACCCGTGCTAAAGTTGATAAATACCCAGCAAAATAAATACGAAAATGGTCAGGATCAAGCAAAAGAGAATATTTCCATAATATGGCACTTATGTAGGTAAGTTCATCTTATGAGTGCTATTAGGATTCAGTCACAAGTTGATAAGTACACATCAGGGATCACTGTAATATATTTTTATTGTTTTGGTAATGTATACCCCCTGTTACCAAGTAGCTGAACCTATGCCATTAAGAAGAAATACATCACTACAGTATTTCGTTATTAGTTTTGAGTTAGTATATGGTGTAAGATAGAGATGGCACACAAAGTTTTGTAGTTTACATAAAACAGAAAAATAACATGAACGTTGAACGTTTTTCGACTTGGTTTTAGTTCTGGCAGGCAAATTAGATTTATGTGTTGTGTAGTTATGGATCGTTATGATGAAGACTTCGTTTTAGTGGGGAAAAGTAGTGCTGGTTCCTGAAAAAATTACTAGCTGTAACTGAGAACGAGAACAAGCTGACGGGTGCTTATTAATGAATTTTATTCTTATTAAAGGTTTTCCCGTTGAAGTTATGAACTAATTTTATTACTCGGATTTTTGCCGCTATGTTCAGTTATGGCGCAAGTGTTCTTATCTTACAATCCCAATGGGACCAAATTATTAAATAAAAACCATAGCTGAATACTAATTTAATACCAGGGACCTATATGAAGCTTTATATTGTTGTTTTAGACATCGGATTCCCATATCCGATGACCTAATTAAAATGCAGCCATAGTAAAAAGAAAATTTATCAGTGTAATGAGGTGATACTTCATCAATGGATGGAAAAATTGTACCATGGAAATTCTAAAATAGAACAAGATCGGCTGATGTGTAGGTTTCTAGCTGAAGGAGAACCGTCTAGAAACACAGGTGGGAAAAAGTCTAGGCCAATCTCTATTAGTTGCATAAAGTTGGAAAATATTAATTTTTTTTAGCAAATAAAAGTTAGGGGTTTTTTTTATAGATACCTTATAAAAACAGTCACAAAACAGTATGCTCCCGATTTTATCTTTCGGCATTTAAGGTGCCAAGAGCTAGAATTATTGGAATTTCTAAAATCTTGGAACAAGGCGATGTACCTAAGGAAAGACGAGGGGGAGATAAAATATCACAAGTTAGCTTCAAGCAGAGAAGTCCGGAATTTTTTAAAAGGATTGAAAGATACCGAAAGTCATTATGGTCTAAACAAATCTAGACGTATTTATCTTGACTGTAATCTAACAATCAAAAAATTGTTTCGTCTATGCCAATCACCCGTCAAAATTAAAATTGTCTCATTTTCAACATTTCAAAGAATTTTCGCAAAAGAGTTCAACATTAGGTTTAAATCTCCATCAGCTAATATTAGAGACTTAAGAATACTCGCTAAAAAATTGCTCCGCAGACTGAGAAAAGAATTCATAAACTGCGAGCTAACCAGTTCTACAAGTTAATGAAGGAAATACCGGAAAACTATTTAACTTACTGCTTCGATCTACAACTAGTCCAACCCTTGCCCAAAACAGCTGTTTCGGATGCTTTCTACTTAAGGCAAATAAGATTATTGGAATGGAATTGGAATTATACCAGTACACCCAGGTGTAGCAAACTTTTTTCATGGACAGAAAATCAAGCCGGAATAGGCTGCGTAGAAGTAGCATCTGCACTTTTCATTTTCTAAACTCACTGGAAATCTTACCGGAAATAAATGCTATTACTTTATTTTGTGATGGATGTGGTGCACAAAATAAAAACAAACACGTTATCTACATATATGCTAATGTATTGGTTAGCCAATACTGCCACATCTATAACTATGGTTAAACTAAGATTTCCCATAAGAGGACATAGCTTTCTTCCAGCCGATAGAACATTTGGAAGGTTCGAAAAGTTATTGAGGAAAGAGCCATTTATCAAGACAAAAGAACAATACCATAAAAATTATAAAGAAGTAAGAAAAGTCTATGTTTTGGAGAATGATTGGAAACTTATGGGTATTAAAAGTCTAAAAAATTATTAAAAAAAATGACAAGAATAAGTGACATGAAAAGAGTAATAATAGAGAAGAGTAGTCAAGACTTCAAAATTAAAATCCTAGTACGAGGACATCAGAATTATAGAATAGATTTTGACATAGAGAAGAATCAGAATTTTTGCAAGGGAGGAACAAAGCTATTTAACCTTATTCTTCCAGAATTAAAAATTGCTCGCCTATTACCCGACAAAAAAATTGAGAACATGTTATGCTTATTGAAGGCAGGATATGGCGAAAATTGGGATACATATACTGATTTATCATGGTACAAAAATTTGTTCAGAAAACCCCAACACAAAACTGTAAGTGGGAACTTGTCATGTATATCACTCTGGCACTACTGATTGATGTTCTCTTCTAAAGTTAGATCTTACTCAGTCTCGTCAATGTTGCCAAATTTATCACAAATATAATACTCTATACCTAATTGAAAAATTAACACACTTCTAACTACCAATTGACTTGAAAATGAGTAAAAAATTAATTTTCATTAGATATACTTTGCAATCAGCCAAATTCTGACATATTCAGCAAAATATACGTCAGTACAGTATTTCAAGCAGTCAAATACATTATAATATTAACATTATATAATTTACTTTTAATCAAGAGTTGGATATGTATCTAGATTTAACAATACAACTATTTTCCTTGCAATTCGGTTATTTTCCATATTCTCTACAATTCTTTACTACCCAGGCGATTAGGCAACCCAGTATGGACACAACAGCATGAAATTGACTGGCTGATCGACGAAGAGTAACGAATCTCATATAAAAATTAGCAAACCGAGTATTGGAAAACCCTGTGGTAAAAGAATAAACGTTTAAGTCTACATCCGTCATTTTCACGTTCTTCTAATTTTTTAAACTGTCATGGTTACAAATAAGTTGGCTCGTAACTCCTAAAAAAATCAGTCTATTATCGTTTTAAGGCAACCATGTAAAATTTTCATAACTTACAAACTTTTTTATTATCTATCGATAAATTACATAATATCCAACTTGTTTTATATACCTTTTCACATATGCAACAATTGTGGCGTTTCTGTTGTATAATATGTACATTAAATAAGAAAAATGGCCAATGCGAAAAAGGATTTGCAGTATTGTTAAAAAAAAATGGTTAACGAGGTACGAGGAATATTTCTCTGCCTTTAAATTTATGCTGCTGACCTTTATGTGACCTAAAGTTGGTGTTTCAGTCTCCTGGAAGTTGTATTATCTTATCTTCCACATGGACAATACTCTTACTTACAATATTAGCCTACAAGTCCTCATTTTTGACCGAGTTACGTTTTCCTCGGCATCTCGGTTAGTTCTTCCCAAAATAATCTTACTGACGCTAATCCAACTCTAACGAAATACCCTAAGACAGAGAATGAATACTTTGTATAGCTCTGACATGTAGTTGGAGTGGACTTACAGAAGGCATAATCTGTAACATGTTGTTTAGATCCTTTGTGAAGTATGCACACAACACTCCCTTATCTGGACGGAATCTACTTAATTCACTTGTAGAGATAATTGTTTGTGTAAATTGTTTATTAACCCACTTACTACACACACTTAGATAACCAAATCTCGATAAAACAATACGACTGAGAACCTGATCAAGTTAGAAGATTAAACATTTGCATTCAATGACGAGGTATACGTTGGCTAGTCAGTTGGTCTAACTCGAACATATACACTAACGATAAATGTATTTTTAATCCACTGGCAAACTGCTTATTTACCCTAATTACTGTGCTTAAAATATTTAGGCATATTTTTGAATCAGTGACATAGAACAAATCTTATATGTTCCGTGATTATGTAAGAAATGACATGTCATTAGTTTGACATGCCTCTCTTTGTCCATGAGTTACGATAAAAATTTAACAGTGACAAAAAGCATTAAGACACACACAAGAACATTTTGGAGAAATTGGTAAAAAACACATATTCACTTAGTTTCGACGTTTAAATGGTAATCTATGTCTTTCGCTTTCGCTATTTTCCTTATTGATCAACAGAAACGTTAGATACCTAATAGAACATTCAAATAGTCTTTGTTCTTGATAATATATAAATAAATCTTAAAAAATTAGTATTAACAGTCTCTCTCGTAATAAATAAAAAATAACTACAATAAAAAAAAAACATAAAAAATGGACAAGGCAGTCAGTTTCTGGAGAAAAAGCAGGCTGCATACAATGGTTCCATTCTTTACATTGTTTATGAGGATTTTTTTAAAATATTTTTGAAGTTTCTAGCCTACAAACTTTTTTAAAATAAATTATAATATTTCACAGGTCAAACTTTCAATAGTTCATTAAAATTCGAGAATTTAAAATTCAATTTGTGCTCCAAAACTAAAAAATTACATTTAGGCAATGTAGTTGACACCCTTGAAACAAAACCCATATTTCATTTCTCCAGAAACTGCCTCCGCGGATTCCTTTAAAATATGGAAGAACATCATCTTCACAACAGCACATGCTACAGCAGCAGATGCCTGAGCAGCATATGCTATACTTCGGCCCCGAGATCTTGAACTCCGCTTTTAGCTATCGGTACATATTTATCGTCGATATTGACCAGCAGGATTGTTTTGTCGATGTGAGACCTCTTCGCTGCTTCCTTGTGGCTGGGAATCCATTTGTGGACCACCTGGAAAATATGATAGAATGTTAAAGTAGGTAGGACTTCCTTTTCTAGTTGGGTTAGAACAGATATATAAATTACCACTCAAACCATCATAACCATAACGTTAAAATCAAAAAACGAATTATCAAATCATTATATCAGAGTAGTACAAACCACCTGCTCTAATGAAAATGTATTTCAGGAGCAAAAAACACCTGCTAACAAAGGTTTTGACAAAAAATAATTTACCCATTATCATTTACAAACAAGGTTGAAGAAAGAAAACAACAAAATACCACAAGCAACGCAGGAACAGTCATAAGAAGGGATTTAAAGATGACAACAGTACCATATGTCAAGGGCTCATTAGAAATATTAGAAGGGATACGAAATAAGATAAGAATAAGAAGAAGAAAGAAATAAGAAAGATCAAAGAACTTCATCTATAAAATATCCTGTCAATGAAAAAATTTCTACGTGGGGCAGACCACAAGATTACTAAATGTCAGGATAAACGAGCATGAAACATACATCAAAAATTACCACACTTGTGGCTAAATAAACAGTATATGCAAACATGTCTGGCAAAGTGAGACAGGGTATAATGGGATAAGAAGAACAACTAATAATCAAAAGAAACAGACATAAAAAAGAGAAAAATCAAAGAAGCAGCTCTCATTCTACTTAATGAAAAAAATTGCAGCAAATCTATCAGCAGAATGTAGCAGGCTTCAGTTGCCAATACTAAAAAAAAGAAGTCAACAACAAGAACATACAAACAATAGCGGATTAATAGAAAGTCAGAAACATATCATCTATAATTATACACAATACATATGCAAAACACAATACACAGAAACGCATCCAATACAATACACTCTTAGGGTGTGGGCCGAAAACATTATTGGTTGATGTATTTAATACCACAATACCCCCAAAAAGAGATGCCTTTTTGGTCAGTCCTAATCACTGTATATTTTTTTTAGGAATTGTTTAAAAACACATCTGCAGCCCTCTACCACCCCTTAAGTGAACCCTCTAAATCTTAAATTATTCAATTTAATTAGCAAATACTGTAAAAAGGTTCCTTTATATGCAAAAGAGTTCCAGGTAATTTTTTCGTTTTTATACTCATTTAAGAATCAGATAATTCAATTCTACCCTCTACCAACAGTTTAATGATCTTGCAATCCAAAAATAAATGACTAAGTAATATTCGACAATTATTTCTGAAAAACTTAGTATATGTGCTAAAATATGGGAAAACTACTGGCACATTTCTATTGGGTCCGTTGGGTAAACGAAACAACTAATTTGAACTGAAACTAAAAGTTTTATTGGAACCCGAAGAAACAAACTAAAACTATTTATATATCCTATTTTTATAAGCACACTAAAATGGCGAAATCATAAATCAATGTAGAAAAAGTCCGTTTTTTTTTTTTCATTCAATCGTAGTAAAAATTGTGCTTTGTCTTGTTATTCGGATACGTTACAAGAAAGATCTTTTGGATTGTTATTGTGATGATCGAATAAATTCCGTCTCTGCGTTCTGGCCCTGTAAACTAGCAAAGATTGAGTTCTCCGAAAACAATTTCACACATCTCTCCACAGCTTGCGTGTGGGCATGGAATATTTGGGAAAGTCAAAAGTCTGCAATTTATAGAGCTAATTTCAATTAACTGTCTTCAGCTCATCATCTGGTATTTGTCCAGCTAACTTTGGTGGGGCCGATATCTTCACATTCACCCAGTTTTTAGTAACTACAGAAATTACTCCGCAGCTAGCTTAAAGTTTATTTCCTGGTTATTTTTAAAACTGCCTTATTCCGACTTGTTTTCCTCTTTTTTCTGGCTTTATAATAATTCTCTCGATTTAGCTTCATTCTCGTACCCATTGACGATTATCTGTTTAACATACATAAGAGGAAGGTTCTCCGGATGAATATAATAGGGAGTTTTTCGTTGGCTTAATCTGCATCTATAATTATTTCTTAAAGATCATCGTCTTAAATATCTTGATAGTGGACTAAATTGGAGTTTGAAACCAATGCATTATCTGGCTTGTGTGCACACTTGGATTAAGCATGTGATAAAAAAAACCACATTGGTGCATCGACTTTAATTATAAATTGAACAAGATCTTTCATCGTGAGGTAGGATGTTCGAGTTCCAACGTAGAGGCGAAGAAAACTCTATTTGCCATCGCTTGCTCGACGCCATTCCTGCGCGAATGAGCTAAACTTTCTCAGGGCGAACGATTTGCTAAATTTTCATAAGACGTTGCCATTAGATATTGCGTGGCATATGTCGTACAGATATGTATGACTGGTCCTGACATTAATTACTTTTAGATGGTTTGTTTAGTTCATTGGGATGCTATCACTTCTCATTATATTTCTACAAATCGACGATTGGAAGGTGTTCGCATCATTTTTCCAATAATTTCCCGATCACCCCAGAGATTTGACGAGGTCCCAGTAGTGAGCTCCTTCCAAACGTTGTAATAAAATGTCTCAATGCAACTCATTAGCATGTCAGGGCACCACACAAACCTATTGCACAAGGTCGCGTTAAAAAGTTCATTTTCGATATATATGTTATAACTCGACATTTTTATGCTCCAGTATTCACTCTATGGTTTCCGTCACAACCAATCGCCACTAAATTTATCCAAACAAGAAGTTATTTTGACAATGGAGAAAGTCTATTATTGCTCTTTCCAATTGACTTGGCTGAGCCTTGCGATGGGACGGGGTAAAACGGTGCCCCCAAAATAAACAGAATTCGGTTCTTCTATCATGTGACCACATGTTCTTCTGCAATCATAGTGTTCTTTTTATGCTATCTCTGCCCCTTTGTCTTTTCCTGCACTAAGGTTTTGTCCTTCCTGCCATCAAAGTAAATACTCTTTATTGGGTTCTATTGGTAGACCTGAAACTCATTTACTAAGGTATTTTCTGGTTCTTTTGACGAGGCTCATTCTATCTACGTTAATTTTTATATCGATTTACTTTGAGGTATCTACCTATCGCAAAAATTCCCACATCCTTTTAATACTCAGCTGCTGGGGCAACAGCAAGCTGCTGACACTGTCAGAAATTCACCATTTTTGTTCAACATACTGGATACCTTAATGATGGCAACTCTATCCTACATTTTGACTAACAGGACTATGGTTTTCGACGGTTAATCAATGATTCTATGCAAAGCACGTAGGTGACGGCTTCAGATGAAGAAGAATTGTCAGAGCTCTGTTGTGATTACCTAGTGACCTCAGATAGAACCAGCCTGGGGTATAGGAAATATTGTGATGAACTTGCAGATCTTGAATTTGTTTGTACTCGTTGCTGTTGTCTTTTTGATTTGGTCTCTTCCGGTCCTTTACTTGTCAACTTTATATAAGTTGTTTCTCCACGCGATCAACAGTTTCCTATAGCCATATCTCTTAGTGGACCGGTGATCCACAAAGAAATTTTCCTGTTCCTGCTTTTGGTACTTGTCTTGATTTATCACACTTGGCAGATACATTGCATGCAGAAAAATATCACTACTTACCAGGCCAGCAATGTCGAAACAAACTTATCCTTTGTTTCCCTCTTTGAAGCTGGTGTAATCACTTTAACTTCATATTGAAGCATTTCTTTTGCTTATTTTTGGATATCTGATATGGTTTAATTCGATTTAGTATGATATTGTCACGTATCTAATAATTGCATGATGGGCGGTCCTTTGAGCACGGTTGGAAATTGAACGCCTGATTCCCATATTACTTTTGATTTTGGCACACGCAAGCACTTCACAACACTTCATTAAAGACTTGGTTCCTTTCCAAAATATTTTGTAAACTTCAGTTCACAACGAAATAAACTCAAATAACATCGGAATAAGCACATGCTTCTATCGTTGCTAAAACATGACACAGTCCCTTTAAGTCGATCATTGGGTTACCGAAAATTGGAACATTTGTCTACGTTACTTCTTGTACTATTTAATTTTAAAAGCAGGCCCATATTTATGGGTCGTCGTCTTGAAGGTATTTCACGCAAATACAACAAACACACAATCTATTCGTCTTGGCTTTCAACAAATAAAACAATAAACATGCGTTTCACCGAAAGCTTATTTCGCACTAAGAGATAAGCGACGACAAGTCCATAACCTCTCGACGATCCATCTCAAGCCGGACTGTTCGATTGTATCCGAGGCTTCACGACCAAGACCATCAGTATTAAATAACTTTTATATTATATATTATACTTTTATGCTTTAAAGTTATACGGAGTTAATTTTACATTTTGTGTTTGGAAAATGTTGGAAAATTGAGATTTTATTTTAGTTATGAGGGTGGTAGAGGGCTGATAAAATCATTTTAAAATAATAAGAAAAAAAACAAAAGATTTATACACGGTAAAAGACAACTTTTGAGCGGTATTGTGTTCCTAATTTATTTATTTATTTTTTCAAGGTCACTTAAGGGCTGGTAGAGGGCTGAAGACATTTTTTTCAAAATAAAACAAAAAATCACAGTATTTTTTACACATATACGCATCTTTTTAGGGTATTGCGTTCCTGTTTGATTCGTTTTTTTTCTGAAGTCCAGTTTGGCCCACCTAATACACATACATTACACAAGAGGAGAATTACGTTTGTGTATACAAAGAAATAATACAAAAGCACATAAAATAGTCAAGACTTAATATCCCGAGGGCACAAACACCACCCTTCAGACTTTTTCAATCCAAAAGCATTACTGTTACCTAAATGATGGAGGCAAGTAAGTTAACAGTCAATTCTGAAAACACATAATCCAATTAACAACTGTTGATTATACTTTTGGTATAATTTTTATATTATTTTTTGGGAACGATTTCCGGAGTAGAAATCGAAACGTTAAATATTAGTTAAAAATGTAATTTTCATTACAATCAATTCTGGCCTAATCCCATATAAACATAGTATTTAGGTAGGATGAGTGAACAGGTTTTGTTTATCTTATTTACCGTTCCTTCCATTCCTTCTTCAGGTATCCAGTCTTTCCAGTAGGTACGGCCTCCCCTCATTCTGAAGAACTCGTTCGGCCATAGGAGATCTACTTTGCCTATTTGGTTTACAGAGTCAAATACAGCACCTGGTTCTATAATCTGCAAAAAAAAAATATACTAGTGTTACTAGATATACTGTAATTAGCTACAGTAAAAATATAAATCAGAAGCGATTTATATATATATATATTTATATATATATATAATATATATATATCTAGTATATATATATAATATACAAAAAAATCGATATACTAGTGTTACTAGATATACTGTAATTAGCTACAGTAAAAATATAAATCAGAAGCGATTTATAAGATAGCATATGACAAGGAGGGTGAAATGGGGATTATATAATATACATAACCATAAAGCAAAAGATTTTAATCAGATTATATGTATCCTGGAGAGAAAAATAATAAATAATATATTTAAATTTTAATTTTTTTGTACAGAGAAGCATCAATAATATTACATTATTATAAACGTTTGATTCCTCAGTGCATAAATTTAGGGAATCAACTTTCTTAATGGTAGTTGGTCAGAACATTAAACACAATTATGATATCTTGTGAAGTTGGCTTTATTTATTTGTATTATTTTACAGAAACATTTTACTTTGTTTGCAGTATAGAAGTAATTAACAATTTTAAGAAATTAGGTAAATAACAAACTATCAAAATAAGACCCTTTCCATCCAGCCTTTGCATAACTGTTAATGAAACGGCTGAAATATCTTCTTCTTTATGTGCCGTCTTCTAAAGAAGGTTGGCGACCATCATACGATAGGTTTCGCAGCTTCTGGTATTTGAACCCATTCTCTCAAGTTTCTCAGCCAGGATTCTTCTTTTTGCTGCCAAACCTCTTCTACCTTCAATCTTGCTTCCACGATAAGCTGCAGCAGACTGTACTTATCATTACGGTAACAACATGGACAGGTATGACGCTTTCTTTTCCTTTTAACAGTTGTTAACAATTCCCATCTCTTTACCCATTCGTCTTAATACTCTGTGTTGGTCAATCTGTCTGTCCAAGGTATTCTCATATGCGTCGATACAGCCACATTTCTCAGAGCCGCTAACTTCTTTATAGTTGCTGCTGTTAACGTCCACTCCTTCTACGCCGTAAAGTAGCGTAGAGACTACGTAGACATTTCGTGGCGCGCCATCGGAGGTTAATGCTTGGTTGCGGTTGCTTAAGAGCTTTCTCATTTGATGAATTTGGATGCTTGCTATTTCAATTCGGATCTTAATCTCTACTTCTGGGTCCCACTTGTCATTTTACTGTATATCCAGATATTTAAATCGGTGTACTCTTTTAATCGTTCGTCTTCAATATGCAGGGTCGATATGTTGAAATTTTTTTTTAATGATCACCATAAATTTAGTTTTCTTTCTATTGATCTTCAGTCCAAATCGGCTGCCAGTTGTATTAACTCTATGGTAGCATCATCTGTAAATCTTCGATGTTATCGGCCAGTATAATTAGTATCACTCTGCATATCGAACAATTAATTATTGGTACGCCATTAATCTTGATGCCCTCATTGTACTCTTCTAGTGAAGAGTGGAAGGCTGAATAATAATAAAATGAAAATAGTATGTATACTCGGTTCACTAATCCCAGACTAACTTGTAAATTAAGCAATAATTATTGTTTGTAAAATTAGTTACATTTTAACAGACTGGAAGTGTCTGTGAACTACAAAACACGTGAAACAATAAATCAAAGATCGTCTATAGATCGTGTATAGTAAAACTGATTACCGCCAATAAAAATTTATTTATTTTGTAAATACTTTGGGTTGCACCAACTGAATAACAAAATAGTATACTCCATTTGCTCAGCTCGGGCATATTTTGACAGATTCATTGTCGGAAACCTACAGACACAACACTATTCTACTTCTCAGTATTGTTGTTTGTTTGTTTGTGTTTAAATGACTGCGGGACACTAAATCCATTCGCCGATCTTACAATTTGATGTGTAGTGTGTGTGTGTGTGTGTGTGTGTGTGTGTAGAGTAATTTGTCTTGATACTATAGCAAAGTCGACGTCATTGTCTTTGCTAAGAGACGCTAATTGTATCCGAACGTCTGCGGTCCCTCCGGTGTGTACCGATCACACAAGGATAGAAATTACTTTTCATTTATTAATTTTTTTTTTTAATAAACGAAAAATTCCACCCAGGTGGGATTCGAACTCACGACCTTTAGATTTAAAGGCAGGCGCTCTTACCACATGAGCCACAGAGGGGGGTCTTCTCAGTATTAATAGCTCAAGTATACTCATGATACAAATACAAACAGATAAGATACGCGCATGTGGGGTGGCTTTATGCATGACTTTTGTGACGTCAACTTGTGCTAAATTTCGCCATATTGTCTTTTTGATGTTTGTGTACATTTACGGTTCTAGCCAATATTTAATAAAGTAATTTTTAAAAGTGTTACAAGGCTTTAAATTTTCCCGATATGAGGTGTGCAGTGTATGGTTGTGCCGTTGACAATATGTGCTAGAGTTTTGTACCCGGTACAGCATTTTATAGTTTTCCAAAAGACAAGAAATGCAAAGCTGTTTGGAAACATTTGTGTAACCGCCAGGATAATTTTAATGTTAAATTTGCTCGTGTTTGCTTTAAGCACTTTGTTGAAAGTGTTGAAGGGATGAATCGGTCATTCAAGGTTTGCAATATAAAGCAGAAGTCAACTACTTTATAAGTTTATAGAAGACGTTTCTTTATATTTCTAAAGCTTCATCAGCTCTAACTCAATATGTAGTATTAAAGATGTTATTAATATATGTACATTAAGTTTACTCTTATTTAGAACTAACTTAGAAAAAAAAACAGAAACAAAGGACACAAAAACTATGCAACAAATAATATTCGCAGAAAGACGAGATTTAACAAAATTTTAAACGTACATTTGGCTTAATTTAGAGATGGTTCTCCAATGAAGAACAAACAAAACATGGTGAGTGTTTTGTTTGTCTTCATTGGAGAACCATCTCTAAATGAAGCCAATTGTACGTTTAAAATTTTGTTAAATCTTCGTTTCTGCGAATAATATTATTTTTTGCAAAGTTTTTGTGTCCTTTATTTCTGTTTTTTTTTAAGTTAGTTCTAAATAATGAGTAACTTTGGAACATATATAATAAATCTTTAATATGTCTTCTATCAATTATGAAGTAGTTTGACTTTGTTTTTATTTTGCCAACCTGAACGACGATTACCTCTGAATTCACTAGTTGAATACTTTATTAATATATATATATATATATAATCTATATATATATATATATATATAATATATATATATATAAATTATAGTTGGGAGATTTAAATAATTATATATATATTTTAGCATATCCTGAAGCGAATAAATTTTGTGAAAGCTAAATAAAAGAACAAAAAATTTTACTTATTCCTGCCCTATTAATGACTGCAACCTCAAAAGAATAGTTCACCTAACGTGTCAGTCAATAATACCTAACGACATATATATAAAATTATAGATATATTGTATGAAAATCACATTACATAGTTTGGAATTTGTGGCATTCGGCCATGGCTCCTCCTCCATCAAACTTCATCTTATGGGAAAATTGTTATTTTTTACAATATATTAATTTAAATACTTAAGCTTAAATTCACGTAGTAAAATTAAAACATCTAGTAAATTATATTAGAATTTCAACAGTTCGTTTTATCCGCAAGCATGAATACATTTTGAAAATTTAGCACAAGGTGACGTCATGCGCGTGAGTGTCGAGTTTAGTGCGTGGCAATATCATATACTGGTATTTTTATATCATGAAGTATACTACTATTGCAGACTTCTTTCTTTGAAAAAAAGAAGAATTATTCTAAATAATGGAAGTGCATACTAAACCCATCAAATTTTGGGTAGTTTATATTTAAAAAATATATTTTAGTTGTTATAATTTAACATAACTATGTATTATATGGTGCAGATAAATAAATATTAATTGTCGGTAATTCGCAAAGTTCTATTTTATTTACTATTTAGTTTGTTTACTATTAATATTGGCTATGAGTACGTGTGTTTGGTTGTATAGTAATTTCCAGCCACTTTTATTCTGTCAAAAAGTAACTAACTTCGCAAAAAAATAATTACTAAATTCACTAGACAGTTCGGACTGGGAATAGCGAACCGAGTATAACATGTCTTGTTAGTAACATGCCTTGTATCACCTAAAAACCACCAGATTTATCTTGCACGTATCACACGGATTATGCTGAACAGACGTTAAACTATATAAATAATTGAGATCTCTCTCCAATGGCATTACAACCCAAATCGAGCCTTGGCCTCCTCCAAACTATGCCTCCAACCTTGCGGGTCCCGCGCCGATCTTCTCCAGGTTCTCAGTCTAGCAAGTTTGCGCGTCCGCTGCCACTTCATTCTCCCACTTTTTCCGCGGCCTCTTTGAACAGTTGTGTAGGAGAAAGATGAGGTAGTTGGTTCGATGATTTAAAAGTAAATATTTAAAAAATTATAGTTTCACCTTCCTACATTTGGTAGATTAAAAATAGATAAAGACCTCGAAGGACCAGCAACCAATAGGTCGCATAACTGCGGATTAGCATTAGCAATGAACTTCAAAGTTCATTTATTCGAGCATTCAACCTCATTTCAATTAATTGATATATGTTTGTAAACTTGTAATATCTGAATTATGCTCCATATAATGTATTTATATATGTGTCAAGTGCTATGCGGTAAATACATGACCCTTTCGTCCCAAAGATAAAAAAGTGTTTGATGGCTAGAACAATCAGACTTGTTTTGGTTAGGCAAATTATTGGTAAATCTGCAAAAATTCTTATTTATTTAACTTTGTGTATTAACAAAATTTAATACTGTTACATCAGCAGACCGTTCTATAAATGTGTCGATCTTGTCTACCTTTAAAGGGTTATAGACTTCGGAAATCCCATATCTTATAATTTGCAAAGCATGATGGAAAATTCCAGTGAAACTGAAATTTTATAAGACCACCGAAATTTTATAAGACAAGTAATAAGTTATTTTATAAGACCACCGTTAGATCAGCTATGATCTATGATATTAAATATTATACAAGCCAAGAACGCTGAAATATACTATAACATCATAGTCAACTAAACAAAACAAACGTTACAGAAAACCAAAAAGGTATTAAGAAATATACACAGCTTTTAGATTTAATACAAACAAATTCGAACTAATCAAAAGACCTTCAAAAATGGTGTTGATAACGCATATCTTTATCATTGCTTGTATTGCCAATAATTGATCCAAAACATAACATCACACCAAAACCTTGAATTCCAAATAGAAACAGTTCTTAATAATGCTCCGAATATACGCCACCGTTTCAGTGCTATGCCTTTTCGGCAGTTTCTTCGCAAAAGCGCAGTTCAACAACATCACTGTTTTGATACACAAAGGCAACTCGTCAGTGACTTTAATGAAAACAGTAACGTTACTAAACGAAACGTATATAACAGAAATCTTAATAGAAGAGGAAGATGTGCCAGTGTTGAAGACGGGAATATTCGACAGCTTGTTTCTACTTCATACCGTAAACGTAAGGAATACGAACTTAGTGACATTACAACCGAATATCTTTGCTGGACTAAGACGGATCAGAAAAATCAATTTTAACTTCAACAAGATCCGTTTTGTACCTTCAAATGTTTTTAAAAATATACCTGTGTATATAATAGCTCTTAGAGGTAATGGGATAGAAACTATCAGTGAAAACGCGTTCTATAACCTCCAAAATCTCAGAAATTTGGACTTGGGCAGTAATAATATCGAACTATTGCCCAAAAATCTTTTTGTTAACACCAATAACCTCAAATACATCGATCTGAGCTACAATAAGCTAAGACACTTCCCTGCAGTTCCCTACAAACCGTATCCTTTCTTTGACGTAGCTTTCGCCAACATGGTACCGGAAGAACCATCCTTTCTTGATTTAAGTTACAATAACTTCACTTTCATCAGCTACTACCTCCTTAGAGGCATCCACTACATCGATGAGTTGCGTCTGCACAACAATAATATCAAAATGATCAGTGAGTATGCTTTTGATGATTTCAAGAAGATTAATACTTTGAATCTGGATGGTAATGATCTGAACGAGATAAGCGATGGGTTGCTGGGTGTTCTTACTTACGTAGAGACCGTGAGGGTGGAAAATAACCCATGGAGGGATAGATTCGTGTGCAAATATAAAGACTGGTGTGAAAAACATGAAAAAGTTAACTATATGGAGATGAAGTGTCCTGTAAGACTGTAATTATATTTATAATAGAAATAAAGTTGTTTTATTAAGTTATTTAGCTTTTTTACTAAGTCACTCATAAAATAATAATAAGAATAAAGAACATTAAAAAATGTTAAACAAATATTTAATTTTTGAAGTTCAAATTGCTTTCTTGGTTTTCAGTCCATTAACTGTTTTATAGTCAACGATTTTTATTGTATAGGACTACTCTTATATGCTGATAACTCATCGGAATAAAATGGATTCCAGACAAAAATAGATAACCCAGAAGGGCTCACAAATCAGTGACTCTTTTGAGACCATAAATGATAAAATGAACAGAACAATCAGAGACTCACGACCCATATATATTTCTTCTTCTGTTCACTTCCGTTCTTCACTCTATTCACGTGATTTCCCACTAACGATGTTTTGCATCCTGAATCTTCGTTTCCCCAAATTTTTCCTCGGGAGTATCATTCCATGTATATTATTTTCTTGTTTTAAGGTTGCTATTGTTCCTTTTGTGCCAATCTTAAACCTATATGTTTAGCTGATGTATAGTGATTGTAAAAAGGCTTTACTTACCCTTACTCTAGATGCACATTCCCGTTCAGCAATGGGATTTGTGTCTAAGGTCTTATCCTCTCCACGGATCTGAACATCTGGAGCTTGAGACACAGCTCTTTCATCCCGCTCCTTGAACAAACCCGCCAAACTGACTAGAGTTGAACTTGTTGGTTTTCCAACAGATACTAGACTACCTCTATTGCCACCTAGAATAAAAATATATTAAGAATATATCCAAAGAAAAATTTTAAATTCTTACCTAAAGATGTCCTGCTCAAGCTAGACCCTCTTCCAATGCTGCCACCTAAATGTGATCCATCGGTAGACTGACTTCCGGTATGGGCTAGAGTCGAAACCGGAGTCATGGCATACATTCCTTCATGGGCTGTGCCAGCTTCTTCTCTGTTGGCCGAGCCGCTGGAACAGCCCTCACCACAACGTTTTCTTATCCTAAAAAAACGTTACATTTATTCATAAAAAGAAAGTATAAAAACTTATTTTTTGCAGTAGGTATTTTTAAATGTAAAGAAATATCGAAAAGGATTTTAAGTTGAGTCAACATTTTCAGTCCTAGCGGACCTTCATCACCAAGTCTTGATTACACCATATGTGCAGCCAAATAATAAAGAGATTTAAAAATATTTGATACACCAAAATACTAAATTAAATTAAAAAGTACTGACATACTGCCGATGATTAAAGAACTAAGTGTAAGGGAACATGATACATGACACTAAAAGGTTGTTTACCGGTACAGCAGTTCGAAACCAACTTTAACTGAATTTACATTCGTGATCAACTCACGAAAACATCTGAAATTTCTCAGTGAAGTGTGTACTGGAGGTCATCATCATCATCATCAATTAGCCTATATTTGTCCACTGCTGAACGTAGGCCTCCCGTAAAATGTTCCACCTATTTCTATCTTGAGCTTCTTGCATCCAGTTTGTGGTGATACGCTTGATGTCATCCGTCCATCTAGTCGGTGGTCATCCTCTGCTTCGATATGCATCTTACCTTGGCCGCCATTCCAGAATCTTTCTGGTCCATCTATCATCCGTTAATCTGGCAACATGTCCGGCCCAAGCCCATTTAACCATGGCTATTTTTTCAACTGCATATGTGACTCCTGTTCTTCTGGAGGTACTACTGCTAATATGAAACGTACTGTATATTGAAGGGACTACGAAAAATATGAGAAAATGTTACAACTCGTAAAAGAACTGCTGAAAAGTATGGAAGTACTAATGATCATGATTAAGTATTTTAAATATGACTAGATCGGGATAGACAACAAAGAAATTGGACGCTGAAGACCATATACTACAAAAAGATCAAGTGGTCGACCGTAAATGAAATGGGGATAGAGGGAAAACAAAGATAAAATGAGACAAATAGAACAGGCAAATATTCATAATGTGACTGGCTGATAGTCCGTATATAAAGCAGTAATGTGAAAAAGTATTAGAATATATTCGAAATATCCGATCCGAATGCCCGATATGCGACTCACAAAACAAATAATGATCTTACAAATTAGGACTACGCAAGCCAGAGGACAACATATGCGATACAGGGACAATATTAAAAAACAACATAAATAAATGTAACATCTACTTTAGCACCTGAGAAGACGCAGACCACCCGGTATGATTGCTTAACCAACTAAACAATCCCCAGCAACTGGGTGCCAACGCAGACTGGGTATGCCATGATTATGGTCGAGTGTGCAATTCTGCAATAGCTGCAAGTAAAGCTAGAATAGCTATGGTGATCGACAACATCCGGAACGGATAGGCACCGTAAGAAGAGAAGATGTGATTCCAGAATCGGCAAATTTAGTCACCGTGGGATGTAGTCCCCGACTATTGGTAATAATCGTAGTATGGAAGATAGTTATACTCGTTACGGAGTGAATGCCATGTGGCTTCAATTTAGAATATATTCCTTGTTCTATATATTCCTTACTGCTTGTAACCTTGAATCTGATCTGAACGTCTGTACCTTGTTTAAGCTTACGCTTCTTCAAGGAGGGCGTGCTCCCTTTTTCGCGAGAACTTTTGAGGGGGCGAGCAAAGTTAGTTGTGAGTAGTGTTTTTTGGAGTGGTATGCGGCTATAGAGCGAGGGCTTAGATGGTAGTAATATAGAAAAAGAGCGCTATGAGGGAGAATTTAGACTAGTCAACTAAGCCATAAGCAGAAGCTACCTCCGGTGTTACCAGCCATACTAGGAACGGCTCTGAATTAGCGCGCATTTCTGCGTTATTTGAGCGGAGTTGCTTCGAGGATATCGTAGTGCTCATCATGAAGTTTGTTGCCAGCAAAGTGTAGAAGCTTAGCTGGAGGGAACGGAACTTTTGTTAGAGAGAGCCAGGTGAGTATGTGCCCTCGGTGATGACAGGGAGTCGTTAAAGTTTGGTTAGCTCCGTTGTTGGAGCCAACTTTTATGCAGAGATCTTTGGCTGAGAGATCGGACTCTGTCCTTTCTTGATGTTATATTCGCAATTTGGTGAATTAGTGCTGACAGATAATCTGCACGTTTCCTCGTGCATTTTCTGAGAATTTTCCTTTCAGACTTTTTCTCTTCAGAGTTTTATTAGGGGTATTTCCGAGTTTTTCAGGTAGCGCTCCCAGAAGTCTAGCTCTTTTTCTTACCCTATCTAGGGTGCCTTTGATGTCAATGTTCCAGTTAAGAGTCCTGTTAAAATGAACTCCAAAGTAGAACACTGAGTTTCTGTAATCAAGAGCTTCTCTTGGAGGACTATCTGGTTCATCCTCTGGCACTACGGCTAAAGGGATTTGAATAAAATTAATTTAGTTATGGAAGGATTGAGTGTGACTCTCCATTTGTTGCACCACCTGACAATTCTATTCAACTGGTCCTGTGATCTATCGAACACATACGGCTGCCTCAGCGTCCCTCTGTGTTCCTGCAGAGACGAGTGCAGTATCGTCAGCAAATAATAATATTGCCTCTGATCTAGTGAACGGGTGGGGGATGTCAGTGTTTTAGACTGTATATAATATCAGCTTGTGAAGTGAATGGTGTTAATAGCGTGTTAGCGACTCTGATTGTTCGATTAAAGAGAGAGGAGTGGATTATTCTTACGAAGGGAGTAGACATAGGCAGTCCAGTACGGCAGAGCTTTTCGATCAGGGCTGTGTTCCACACCTGATCGAAGGCTATTTGATTCATTGAGTCCTTCTAATATGAAGATTGCTGCTTCAATCAATGTATTTTGTGCGGAGTGTTTAACTCTAAATCTGAATTCTGGGGACGAGAAGATGTGCGCCTAGGAATTCGAGTCTCTCCTTTAGGATCCTCTCGCAAACTTTACCTAAGATGCTGAGTAGTGAGATTCGGATATCATATATATCCTTTAATCTTCAAAAATCTTGATCTTTACTACTAGTAGTAGACTGTAAAACAGTTTAAATGAATGTATTGGTTGGTTAATATTTAACGTATGTTGTACATAAGGACTTCAATGTTGTATATAAAGATCTCTAAGGCCGATCTAAATTACAATATTCTTACATTTTCTTCTTTTCCAATTTTTGCTCAAAGTAGGTATTCTACAATGTACTTCAATGTTTCTCAAAACATTTTTTGAATATACGACTTTAAATATGCCGAATACTAACAAAAACTTACCTTCTGAATGTGTTAAAAAAATAATTTTTAATCTTCTTCAAACTGACTGACCCACCTACGAGATTGGCATATTGTTCGTTGGTTTCGGCATAGCTCGTAGTTAAGGGTGAAACGTAAATGGGGTATCCAATGGGTTGATCGCAAGAAGAGTTAATGATGTTCCTGAGCGCCTGCTTGGCGTTCTGAATGCTGCCCCGCTCCGGGTTGCGATTCCTAAAATTCAATAAACAAGTTTTTGTGAGTTTGAGCCGTTTATGGAACTCTGAAATCACCAATAAGCACGAAGATTATTCGGGGAGTAAAAATACTCACCTAAAATATACTAACTCCTGTTGTTGGCCAGCCCAAAGACCTCTCACACATTCTTTGTTCACTTTAATGACCCGGAAGCTGAGATACCTCTTGTTTAACATAATAATTTTATATTCATCGTTGCCTTCATCTAACACATGCCTGCAATGAATGAGTGATAAAAATATCTACAAAACTAAAGAAAATCTTACCTTAAAGCTAAAAGACTAGGTGCCCCACTTAATACTCCTCTCCTCCACGCAGGATCTCCCTCGTGTGATATCACTAATTCCTCTTCATGCTTACAGATGGCTTCGTACAATGTAGACAGTTCTTCGTACTCGTCGGCTGCCATGAAATGGTCCTGGTGGAGCTTGAGGGACATTCTAACGCCGGGAGCTACAACAGTTTTCAAGAGATCCATGTCGCTGAAGACCCATTCATCTCTAGCACACGATATTCGAAAATCCCCCTTAAAAAGGGCGTGCAATCCGTAGAGAAAAAACTCTACCCCCGAGACCGTGTTGTGAGAGACTGCACCCAGTGTTCTTCTTCCTGGAAACAACAAATAGGTAAATCTGATTTCCTAGAAACACATATAATTCAGAAGATAAGGATAAGTGGAGACTCACCCAGTAAACTTAACGCGAAACACAAAAGAGTCAACGGCGAACTGATGCCACTCTCAACATTTTTCCCGGATCTTTCCACGCAGAACTTGATCCAATCACCATGGATCTGCATGAAGCTGTTCTTGGTGATGCCGCTGTTCTGCATGTCGTAGTCCTCGTCAATGTTGTAATTGAATATCGGATCCAGGTCTACAAAAGATCTATGTTCCATAGGCGAAAGAGCTTTAGATATTGTTGGATTAAACAACCATTCCTCGAGTTTGGGAGACCGAATGAGGTAAAATATTATACTCTAAAAAAAACAAGATCATAATAACAACTCATACAGTCAACTATGTAATTATAAAATCGGTATACAGTTCCCCAAAGATTAGCCAGTAGTTTGGTTGACTAGTTCATGATAATCTGAAGATGTTTATTTATAGTTATATAACTTTTACTTACTTTCACATAATACGACACCAACACCTTCCTGAATTCGAATACTTGCAGCATAGAAACAGCACTATTATCAGAAATGCTGTAGCCTTCTAGAATATATTTCGCCGCTATGACTTCCCACGCCAGCCATCTTTGATTGAATGCTGCGTTTATGCTGAGCATGTTTGGTAAATGTCCAGTGTCACAGCAGCAACAACCTAAATAGAAACAAGAAATATATACCAACGGAATGGATATCTGATCAAGACCTTCTTGAAAGAATGTCAAACAAAAGAAAACATCTAATATACTCACCATCATTTTCTTCTACTCCTTCAGTGATGGCTTCTACTTCCCTCTGTTGACAATAGGTCCCTCTGAACTCCAATCCTCTCATTTGGAACGTAATCACATCGTTCCCCATCTCTATCACATGCACCAAACAATTCAAGTAATCGGAAGCCAGAACGAAACAGTCTCCTTGGTTAACCAATCCCCACCGCCCCATCTTCAAATCGCCACATAAAGACGTCTGAAGTGACCTTGTGAGATGTTCGTAGAACAAGGAATTCAAATTGTTGTCGTCAGCTCCTAAGTTCCTGTCCAAATGAGATGAAAGGGGTGTATTCGAGTGATCGACTCTTCTAGTATTGTAGTCTCTTTCCCAGAACTTAACCGGTCGTACGTAAGATATGATGAAAATAGCGCTGCCGAGAAAGGGATTGAGAGGCATTGAGAGACAAGAGGACATGAAGGCTTGGAGGAACAGCATGGCGGAGTGTGGTACCGAAAAAGGCTGTGCAAATGCGTGAAACGCCGAACCCCATGTTATTTGCCATGGCGCTATATATGTCACTACAAACTGGATCTGGAAAATAAAAAGTATACTTTTGAGCAAGTTTTTGGGAGTACCCAGGAATATATATTTAAGTCTCTTGAGCCACACGTTCCTAACCATCAAACCATATCCTAAGCTACCTTAAGTCACCAGATAAAGGACTATTTTTTAAATTTATTGCACTTACTTTCTTGTAAAAGATATTGCATTGTTGCGAGTAATTTTTGTTCTTTTATTTTATAATAAAAGTTTTAGTTCAAACTAATCTTATTTATTTGGTTCCTGTGTGCATAAATACTGTTATCCTATTCAAGCCAATCTACTCCTGAGGCTAGGTTAACTTTTTATTTATAGGTTTAAAAGATTCCATATACCTAGAGGTATACATGGCCCTCGTATAGGTTTTGTTTCAACACTCATACATCTTACATACAACACTTACCTTCAACATAAACTCATACATCTTGTTATAAGCCGTGACCATAAAAAAGTAGATGACCAAGAACGTCTCGTCAATTTTCCTCACGTCGTATTTGTAGAACAACGCCGAAAACACCAGGATCAAGTACTGGGCGCTTTGATTCGAGTAACTATTCCTTAGGCACTTGATTCCGCATATCACAACTATAAATGAGCCTCGGATCGTTCCGTATTTCATCACAATGCGAGGCGAGTCTTCAGTCAGAACGGAGAGGAACAATAGTGGATACACGATGTTACGTTCCAGGAAGGAGAAGTAAACGTATACCTAGAGGAAAAAAAGCAATACTAAGAATTGTTGCCAAAATGTATAATTATGTCTATACAGTTCGTAAATCTGTCAACTGGACATACGTAATATACCTTAAGGTAAGTGTGGTAACTGCGCTTTCTCAAGTCCACTGCTGTCGTAAAGGTAGCCGTTTTAACTTTTACTTTTAGTATCAATTAAGACTATTGAGTGTACATCGATGGAGTTAATTCTACTACGTAAATAATTTAAAGTTATTGCAATGCAGTTAAAAACCTTTGAAAAATATTATTGTGGGCTATTCCGACCGAAAAACGAAAAAGTATTATTCTAAAAGTAGTTTAAATCAAATAAATAATTCGACACGAACGTTTTCGGAATAATAATTCCATCATCAGGTTAAAATTGCCTAAAATAGGTATAAACCATTTAATTAAAGCTGACGTGGTTAAAAATTTTGACTAAGGTTCTTCTTCTTCTTAGGGTGCCTGTCCGTTCCGAACGTTGGCGATCATTCTGGGTATGATGATTTTGTTGGTTGCTATACGAAATAGCTGTGTTGAGGTCTTTCTATACCATGCTCTCAGGTTAGCAAGCCAGGATATTCTTCTTCGTCCTGGGCTCTTTTTCCTTCAATTTTACCCTGCAAAATGCATTGGAGTAGCTCGTAAAGGTTACTGACTAAGGTTAAAAAGGCTGACTAAGGTTAAAAAAGCAAAATGGTTATACTTGCAGGTTAACATGCCTGAGCCACCAAAATATTAGGGTATAAACCCTTTAAAATAAATAAGGTTAACAAAGATTGTATATATCGTTGTTAATAATATTTGATGTTTAATATTTCATTATATTTTACTTCAGGTAACATACACCCATGCCTTACGCCAGCGTCCGGAGAGTAAACCTCTTCAAACGGACTTCAGCTGGTAACTGATTTAAAAGATACCTATGAACGGTGTCGAAAACAAAATGTCAATTTACCATGAAACAGTATTAGTTATACATAGTATTACTACAGCCAAAAGATTCAAAACTTTGATGATGTTAAAAATGATAACAGCAATCCAGGTGTTGGGATTAAAACATTTTTTTAATTATGTAATTTTGGATATAAAAGATGTAAAATTACCGATGGTGTTAAGGTCATGTTTAAGATAATGTAAGTCATGTAAGAGAATTCATTCACTTAAACATGACCTTTAACACCATCGGTAATTTTACATCTTTTATATCCAAAATTAAATAATTAAAAACATTTTTAAATCCCAACACCTGGATTGCTGTTATCATTTTTAACATCATCAAAGTTTTGAATCTTTTGGCTGTAGTAATACTATTGTTTCATGGTACACATTTTGTTTTCGACACCGTTCATAGGTATCTTGTCAATCAGTTATCAGCTGAAGTCCGTTTGAAGAGGTTTACTCTCCGGACGCTGACGTAAGGCATGGGTGTATGTTACCTGAAGTAAAATATAATGAAATATTAAACATCAAATATTATTAACAACGATATATACAATCTTTGTTAACCTTATTTATTTTAAAGGGTTTTTACCCTAATACTTTGATGGCTCAGGCATGTTAACCTGTAAGTATAACCATTTTGCTTTTTTAGCCTTAGTCAAAATTTTTAACCACGTCTGCCTTAATTAAATGGTTTATACTTATTTTAGGCATTTTTAACCTGATGATGGAATTATTATTCCGAAAACGTTCGTGTTAATTTGCTGTAGCCCTTTTAAGGGTTTTTTAAATATACCCATTTACAAAGATTTAACCCAGTGGTTCTCAACCGGTGTTCCGCGGAACACTAGTGTTCCGCGAATTCCTTCCAAGTGTTCCGCGAAATACTCGCAATCCTACATACCATTTTGCTAAATTACTCTTTTCAAATAAATATTTTCAAATTTTAAAATAGCCACTTACGTACATTTTAATTTAATAAAATTCTGCAGCGTAAATGTTCATTTGCTCAACTTAACAACACCGCGTCGGCACAGTGCACACGTTGGATTTTATAAGCGCTGAGCGCTGAGCTCCGCAGTGGCCACAGCCAATCTGAGTCACCCACGCCACAGTCTGCAACTGAATGTTGAATTTGTTACATTGCACAAACGTAATACGTGAAAATCGCTGTCAGGTTTTTTATGATAACGTTTACGTACGGCTTATCTATCAAAGGTAAGTAATTGCATATTTTATACAAAATGTGAAGCATTCATCCGCATTATTTTGTTTAGAGACGAATAAATTAAAATGGAAAAATTCCTCAAACTTAAAAGAAAAACTACTGTGGAACAACTCATAATTAATGATGATGAAGCGAGCACCAGCGGAGATACTGAAACTTTACGAAGTGGGGTTGATGACAAATCGAAGCGCAGCAAAAAAATGTTGAACCGGCAATATTTGGATGAATATTTGGATTATGGCTTCATTTGGACTGGGGAAAAAGACTATCCAATTCCCAAGTGTATTGTTTGTGGGCAGACACTCGCTAATAGCGCAATGGCTCCGGCTAAATTAAAACACCATTTTACTACCAAACACGCTAGTTGCACAACAATTTCCGACAAAGCACAAATAGCTTCATATAAGGTCGCCGAATTAATTCTTTGAAACAGAAACCACACACTGTTGCAGAATCTCTTATATTACCAGCATGTTGTGAGATGGTCAAAATTATGTTTGGCAACGATGCACAAAACGAAATACGGAAATTTCCTATGTCGGATGATACAATAAGAAGGAGGATTGTTGATTTATCTGCAGATATTGAGGAAAAAGTTACAAATAAACTTTACAAAAAAAACTTCGCATTGCAGGTGGACGAATCCACTGATATTAGTGGCAAAGCTCATTTATTACAATTTATTCGACTTGTCGACGAAGGTGAAATAGTCAATCAGTTTTTATGCTGCAGAGAACTTACAGCACGTACAACAGGTCAGGATGTATTTGATTCCATAACGTCATATTTAGAGAAAAAAAAATTTATCATGGGACTTTTGCGTAGGAATTTGTACGGATGGTGCCCCTTCCATGGTACGCTCCATAAAAGGTTTTTGTTACCCTTGCAAAAAAGCGAAATGAAAATATCATATCTACGCACTGTTTCTTGCATAGAGAATCTCTAATTTCAAAAACGCTACCAGCTACTTCGAAATCTGTATTAGACCAAGTGGTTAATGTCGTGAATTACATCAAATCAAGACCACTAAAAACCCGTCTTTTTAAACAACTCTGCATCTCAATGGAATCAAAGTATGAATGTTTGTTGCTGCACACCGAAGTTAGATGGTTGTCAAGGGGCAAAGTATTATGTCGAATTTATGAACTTAGAACGGAGCTGTTAACTTTTTTCCAAGAAGAAGGTAAGGACACATTTACCACATATTTTGAAAATGATGCATGGTGCACTAAAGTGGCATATTTGGCCGATATTTTAAATTATTTAAATGGCGTTAACTCAGGTATGCAAGGCAAAAATGAAAATATTTTAACATCCACGGACAAGCTGTCAGCTTTCCAGAAAAAATTGTCATTTTGAGACAAATAAAATGGATATGTTTCCACTGCTTCAGAATGAAGGTGATGAAGATAAAGAACAAGAAATCACGTATATAGTTACAGAACACTTATCACTATGGGAGGAGACAATTGCCAGGTATTTTCCTTCTCTGAACGTAGAAAAATATGACTGGATAAGAAGTCCTTTTAGCACAAGTAATACAGCCAATTTCCAGTTTTCTCTGAACCAAGAAGAATTTATTTCGTTGTCACCTGATCGTACTCTGAAAATTAAATTTTCAGAAGTGAATGTTCAGGAATTTTGGATCTTGGTCCAAGAGGAATATCCACTTCTTGCCAAAAAAGCGATTAGTATTTTAATAGTTTTCAACGTCCTATTTATGTGAATTTGGGTTCTCATCTTTAACAAACATTAAAAATAAGAAACGGGAAAAGCTGCTAAACTTAGAACAAGAAATGAGAGTAGCTCTTTCCCACATCAGGCCTGATATTGAGCAAATTTGCAAACGACACCAGGCACAAGTGTCTCACTAATTTGAAGTATTTACTCATATGATGTAATTTGAGAATTACGCTTTTGTTAATTTTAAAAATGTTTTTTGTTTTTATATTTTAAGTAAAATTTTTACAAATTTGAGTACGTATAATAAAGTTTATTACAGACTTTATATGCTAATCCTAATTTGTTTATCAATATATGCATGTTATTGCTTTGGTGTTCCGCAATTTTTTTCGGTAATTAAAAGTGTTCCGTCGCCACAAAAAGGTTGAGAACCACTGATTTAACCTCTTTTTTTTGTGATACGTGGTATACAGCCAACTGCAGAAATTATTTTCCTTGTGGATTTTGTTAAATAACAATTAAACTAAAAAAAATGTTCCAATGCACCAACTTCTTTTGCAAGACAATAACCTGATCTATTATAAAATGCTTGTCTTACGTTTGCAAGCTGTTGTGGCGTAATCGTAGCACATGCATTTCTTTTTTATTTTCTAAATCAACTAGATTATGTGCCCTCTCGAGACCATTGCCACAGATAGTGGATTTAATATGTCCCCAGAAAAAAATCCATGGGAGTCAAATCTGGAGATCTTGCAGGCCATTTAATTTGGCTTGTTTCCTCTTATAATAAGATCCTGAAAACTTGTTTTTAGATAATTTATCACGATACGCGCATTATGAACGCAACAGCCGTCCTGTTAATACCAGACATCTTCTAAACGTACATCTGGGAGATTATGAATAGCTGCAACAATATTATCTTGTAAAAGAGCAAGATACTTAGCTGAATTCAGAACTATCTCAATAAAAAATGGACCAATTACATAGTCACCTAAAATTCCGGTCCACACATTAAGTTTTTGAAGGCGTTGGGTCCGATGTATAATACTTCGATGTTCATTTTCCTGAGACCAATACCGCGTTCTGGAAAAATTGTGATGACTCTGTACTGAAAATAACGATTCATCGGTGAAAAAGATATTTTTTATAAAATTATCACTTTCGTGAGATGCATTCATTGCAGCTTCACAAAACTCTACTCTACAAAATTGATCTCCGGGAAACAACTTCTGAGTTTTCGAATATTTAAAACTCTTAATTAAAGCCATATTTTTTTAAAACTTTAATAACTGTGTTATGCAAGACCTTCAACTCCTTGGCGAGACTGCTAGTGGTTCTGGAGTTATCCATCTCAATGGTAGCACAAATACTTTCATCTCTCCTTTCGATTTCCTGCTGTCTTTCCGGGGACATCTCTTTTCTTTTGTGGCATTTTGTACAATCTTGTAAACAATAATGTGTTTCAAAACTATTTAAAATATTTACAATTGTCTGTCTAGAAGGTATGGGTCTATTTTCGAAAGTATTAGCAAATAGATCTAACCATTCTGACGAGGAATTACCTTGATAATACCATTTATTTATTTGAACCTTTTCTGGAGATCAGATTCTAAGGTGCCGATTATCGAGTTATCAATTGCATTGTAGGTATAGCTTAGTGTAATAGGATATTAGCATCGATTCGAGAAAGCGCAGTTGCCGCATTTACCTCAATGTATATTACCTATGTCCAGCTGACAGATTTACGATAAGGACATTTACATACTTTTTCGAACCACATGACTTTGGCCGGACCTTTGATCTGATACTGCTCATGTTCTTGGGCTCTGAATATCGGTCTGGCGATGCACAGCCAAGGCAAGTGTTTGCGCATCTGAGGAACCGTGTAGTGTAGAATAAACCCCAAAGTAGCGCCAATGGACCATAAAACCGGACTTAGTTCCGGTTGGAGAACAGTAAACACAGTGCTAGCATGAACGGCAAACACTGGAATAAACAAGATTATTAATAAAACGATAAACGTTTTTGTTCTTGTGCTACTTACCTAATATCGCTATTAAACTGCATACTATGACGTCATGCTTCAACCTTGCGTTGTTGATCTTCTGTAACTTAGCAGGTAGTGGATCTGAGACGTCTTCCTCTACATTATACTGCTCCTTATTACTAGGAAATTTCACAGTCTTCTCTTTAGTCTTCGATTCTAGCTTCGCATCCGCCTTAGCCTCCTTCGGTTCTTCTCGGTGCTTCTTCTCTTCGGTACTGCTACTCTCGCTCTCCTGCTGCTCCCTGTAAACATCCGGCAACCACAGATGGTTCTTCACCATGTTCCAAATATGCGTAGGATCACTGGTGCTTCTGCTTAGATGATAACAGGTGGCTACCAGCGAAGCGCAAAACATCGAGAACAAAACATGCTGTGCCCCTTTACTCTCACTTAAGCCCCCGTAGGCGACGCCCCCCAAAATTATCACAGTCAAGCATGATCGGAAGATGCAGTAGAGAGAGGCGGAAAGGCTAGACATGGCGTTGCCTCCAAATACGTGCATGTCCACCTGTTCCAGGATGTACATCAGAAACGTATTTATCTGAGGAAATAGGCCGAGAGAGAAAAGAAGCGGAAACACTAGGATAAAATTAACTAAAAAATCACAGGACAATAGCAGTAATTGCTGGTTTGTTAGGGAAAGTGAGTTCAGATTGTACCCCATCTCCTTCGTTTCGGCTAGTATATGATAGTCGAAGATAAGTACGAGGGAAGAAAATATACAAAAGTACAAAGGTCTAGAATACGCGATAACCCTGTTGAAGCCGTGTGTCGGCGAAGCAGCGTCTGGCTGCACGCTCTTTATCAAGGAGTACTGGCAGCTGGCGATGACAAAACAGAGAATGAACGAGGTAAGATCTCTGTAGAATTCTTTGTGTAGCATAACGGCACCTAGGATGCACACCATACTGCCGAGTATGATGGAGAGAATCGTTTCGTGGAGAGTTAGATTTCTATCTAAGAGCGCTAGCAACTTCAGTCTGTCCATGCTGACTTTCACGTAAGTCCATGGCCACACTTTGAACACATAATAACTCTTTGTCCGTTTATAATTATTGTCTACGGGGTCTGATTGTATACTCTTGAATTTTGATTCAGTCTGAAACCAACAAAAAAGTAAACATAATAAAATGATCATGAAGAACAATGCTTTCAAAAAAATTACTATATGTTGTATGTCTTACCCGATAAGACCGATTACGCTAGGAGTTTTGAAAATCTATAAAACTTACCTCTACTAACAGTCGATCGTGTTCAAACGGTTGTTTAAGCCGATTGTGTGGCTCCGAAGCCATGGGCGAGTTGAGAGGTTGATTCGACTTCTGCAAAGAGACATCCAGAATGGTAGAGATGGAACTATTACAAGTCGATTCGGTACTATTACTATCCCAGATATCGTTGACAGTACGACGCGGCCTGCTGGACGACGCCGTCACACCAGCAGCGTCGCTTCGGCGTCGGTGAAGAGAGGACTTTTCGACAGTGAGGCCGGCTTGGGAAGTACTAGGACCTACAGTTTCACTACTAGCGGATACTCCAGCGGCTTTATCGTCGTAGGTTAACACATAAAAATCTCCGTACTCATCCATAGAGCAATGATTGCATCCTTCTGGAGTGTCTGAAGTAAAATGCCTAGCAGTATATCTGCCGTATCCGGCTGCTAGAGATCCAGGGATATTTTCTTTCTTTGATGCCTGGTTAGATCTGAAAATGTATACGGTAAAAAACAAAGTAAATTTCATAACCAAGATAATTCTTATTATTTATAAAATATCAAAATACTTTAATATTCGTTCTTTTATCGTGATAAGTACATCACGTTCTTTTTCATTTTGTAAAGAACTTCAGAATTCGTTACCCAATTGACAAATGAGATCCGCGTTCACGTTTTAGGTAGTGTCTCTAATGGAAAGACACACACATCGCACTTGGTGGTGACGACTAGATTATCTAACGTTTGACAACTGTATACTCCCCTTAGTTGATACACATAGATATTTCTGGTGCTCTTTCACCTCAATCTTTATAGCTCTCTCTTTTACTCTTCCATATTCGCAATACACAAGGTTAACGTCTTGCCGATACTAGTATATACAACAAATGTATGGTACTCACCTCCTCCTGTTGTTTCTGTTGATCCTTTTCAGTCTCATGCGATTAGAATTAGACCGGATATTCTCCAAGCCCATCGAAGTACTCATGTTGGCGGGTCTTGAGTTCAAAAACGCAGAAAGCAAAGGCGCAGGTGGTAGTAATGTGCTCAGTTCGTTGTTGGAACCATTTGACGAACCGTCTTCGTTCTTAGATTGCGAATCTGCTTTGCTAGTGTCACCAGAAGCTAAAAATAAAATAAATAAACATATCTTAAAATATCACTAACATTTGTGTAAATACCTACCCATTTTTGGTAAATTCAGTTTAGCTCGTGATAAAGGTGGTGAATATACAACACATTCCAAACCCTCCACTGGACTTAAGCTCTCTGAATGCCTCATCTGTGTCTGGGTCACTTTGTTCTCTTTCATAGGTTTGTTTCTCTCCCTGTCTAACCTAGATGGTTTACACCTGCAAATATAACGATACATGTTTTCAAAAACTGACAAACTTTTCTTTTTATGACTTTTAAAAAGCTCTGGCTATCTTCAACACTTCGCAGACAATTAATATATGACTGTTAAGGACAATAAACTAACCGGCAAACGCTACATTTTTCAGATTCACTCTTTGGTAGTTTCCTGGCTATGGAATTGGAAGGATCCCTCGAAGCCAGTCGTGTTTTCTTTGGTATGGCGCCCAAACTACTAGTGGATGGAACGTTGTCTTGCAGGACTTTGCTGACATCGTGCTCCAACGACACCGTCGTCGTACTACACCATTCGGAATCCCTCTTTAAAGGCTCTAAAAAAAAAGAAAAATCGGTAAAACATCACTATTACAGTTTCCACTCAAGTTATTAGACTCACCCTAAAAATTTCAGTTTTTTTTAATTTCAAGCGCCTTAAAAGTCTATTCACAATGATACAGAGTTCCTGAGTGGTTTTCATAACAATTAGTGAATAATCATCCTACGTTAAAATTGATGAAACTTTTTAATTGAAATGTGAAAACTTGACAGGTGGCAATAGAATGTGCTAAAAGTGTGAATGATTCTACTTTTTCCAAATTTAGTTTTTTACTTAAATTAGCGATTGGTGTTCATCTTTTGTAAAATTTGTAGTGAATAGTGTTGATATTATTCTGTAGTAATGTTCGTTTTTGATTTGAATAATTCCTAATCATAAAATAAAAAGGTTGATCTCCAATTGGAATTTTTTCTATTGGACAAATGTAAAGATCTTTCTGCTGAGCAAATCAGAATATTCTATTACTGCTCTAATAGAAAATACCACATATAATCAAAGAGAAATGTCAAAGTACGTCGGTTCGAAAGGATAAGTGTGGCAGAAAGCTTTCAGTCACCCCCAGAAGACAACGAATTTTTAAAAAAATTGACTATAAAATATAGAAGAGCTACCCATGAAGATAAGTAATAAGTAGTAAAAAACAGGGTGTTCAGTATCGGTGCCCACTGAGTGCTGAAATTTGTACAGCATGAGGTTCAAATGTTGTAGGCCTGTTAAGAAGTCAAAACTAATAGTACAAGCTGTAGAGAAAAAACTGGTCCTCAAAAGCCCTTCAAAACACTATGCTGGTTTCAAAAAGTCACTAATTAATGCTCAAAATCATTCATTTTTGTCTCTATAACACCACAAATGCTACCGAAACGCTTAGCTTGGGCTAATTTGCATAGAGATGACTGGCAAAAAGTTAATAAAAATTATTTTGTTTTCCTACTTTATAATTTTTATTCAAATTTGCAGGTTGACTTAAAAGTCATGAAGCCATATTTTAAATTATGTATTATAATACCCAATTTGTAGAGCCACAATAGACCTCTTAGGTTGAGTGGAAGTGTCAACTCATGTAGAACCTGTCCTAACCTAAACTAAGGCTTAATTTGTCCGGAGACGTTTATGAGAGAATAGGAGTGTGTAATAAAAATAATTAAATACTCCATTTCAGTAACGATCTGGTCTGTAATCAATGGCAAAGAAATGGGACGTGGGAATGGTAGAAGAGACCTTGCAACAGGATCAGTATAAAGAGTCTTGCAGACAAGATTGGTTCCACAAATGAAAGAATGGTTTGGGAATTGGTCGCAAGGTATTTATGGAGGATGGAGCATATTGCCACACAGCTAAAAGCATAAAAAGATTTTTGATAAGGCAAGAAATTTCTCTATTACCAACTGACCAGACATGAACCCCATCAAAAAAATGTCTTGAGAGTGCCTAAGAAGAAAATAAGCTGAAAAAAGAGAGGGGCTACACTTCTTAAAGCCAAGGGTTCATATTCATGTGACAATTTCAATTTTTGTTCAATAAATATAAAAAAAGGTTAATATTATCATTTATGTAATCCTCTTATATACATATAGGTAACATAATTATAAGTATAATTGATTGTGAATCAAACAAAACCATAATTTGTTAAATGAGTCTAATAATCTGAACAGCAACTTTATATAAAAGATATATACCAACCTGTGCTAGAAAATTTTCCCTGATGTTGGCACTTCAACTTCCCCTGTTGGTCATCGCTCAAGGCTCTTCGTCTCGTCCTGGCGATTCTCTTCTTTCTCACCACCACTGTAGGTTGTTCTTCTTCGGTTTTGGCTACTCTTTCGATTTCTTTGGGCTTCCTCTTTAACTGTTTGTCGATCTTTTCCTCAACAGCGGCAATAGGATATATACAGCTGAAAATATGGATATTATTGAGTGGAAGATTACTAAAGTTGTTCAAGATATACAGTTTGGGTGTGTACGAAGAGATCAAAACTACATAGAACGATCGCGGAGGGAGGTAGCTTAACACTAATGAGCTCATAAATCGACTTTGATATACTGGAGTATACGCGAGAAATAATGGCACATACAAAGCAAACAGCCCGAAAATCCACTGGTGGTAAAGCACCACGTAAACAGTTAGCAACCAAAGCTTCTCTTAAGGGTGCACCTGCCACTGGATAAGTTAAAAAACCTCATCGTTACAGGCCAGGAACCGTAACTCTTCGTGAAATTAGACATTACCAGAAACGTACTGTGTTACTTATTAGACAAATACCTTTCCAACGTTTTGTCCGTGAAATCGCACAATATTTTAAAACAGATTTACATTTTCAGAGTTAAGCAGTTATGGCTTTACAGGAAGCGGTGAACCATATTTGAAGATACTAGTTTATGCGCTATTCACGCGAAGAGAGTCACTATTATGGCCAAGGATATTCAGCTCGCCAGGAGAATCAGGGGTGAAAGGGCATAAACAAATAAAAGACATATTACAAACTCAACCGGTTGGAAAAATCACTAGGTAAACCAGTAAAAAAATACTTACGCAGCTCTATTATCGTCCAGTTCCATACTAGAGTTGCTGAAAGACAAATTTTTATCGCTGACGTCGTTATCAGTATTATAGAAATCAGTCCTGGCATCTTGCATGTCGGGTGTAGTACTGGAATTGGAGTTGTCGTTATTTTCCAGAAGTCGATCTTTGGAGTTGGTATTAGTTTTGGAGCTGTGCTGATACTGAACGGGCGCTATGACGGATTTCGTGGAAGATAGCTTCGCAGTTTGGTGGTACTTCTCGTCGTTGAGGGAGTAAGGCACACTTTTCGGTTTTTTGGGTTTAATGTACATGAGGGGGCTATGGCTACCTGTGAATAAATGTAAAACATAACATTTTTTTATGTTTTCCCCAATATTGTAAATATTGTTGAATATATAGATTTTTGATGCTAGTCAATATCAACTGATACTCTCATTTTTAATAACTGACACTCACCTTGGTCGATTTCCTCGCAATCTGAATCAGAACGTCGTTCCATGCTCTCTACGTCAGTGTCTGGGCCGTGGGAAGTTTGATGTTCATCTGACTGTTCTGCTATGGGGTAAACTATCTCGGAACCATAATACGGACACAGGTTTAGGTGTTGGTTCCGAGTGAGACTAGAACTGGGTGGAGGAAGAGGATTTTTCGTCAAACTTTTGCCGCCTAAATAAAAATACCTTAGTGAGCGTAAATCTATTAGGAAATGTTAGAATAATGTGTATATCTTAAGAGATAGGTTGACGTAAATCGTACAGTTAATCAATCAGAAAACACGAACAATGAAAATAAGTTGAACTTACTGAGTATTTCTAAACTGTTGGGATGTACATCTAGAGGTGGGGGTGGACAACACGATTCCAGAACTGTAGAACGAATTCTTCTCACTCCCATTACAGTAGGCTTGAAATAAAACCCTTCCGAGGTAAGTGGTTGGTTGGGATTTTTGTCTATATAACCTAATTCAAGGGAACCTACAGCCAATAATAAACAAAAATAAATATGTATATATTAAGGCTATATTCATTTATTATACCTGTAGGTTTAATATCAACTTGAACTGTGGACGGCAAGAAACTTAAACTCGTGAAATTGGAATGCCTCCTTCCTGAACTTTCTATCTGGCCAAAATTTGTAGATCCGTGTTCGGATTCCACACTCTGCAGTGAGGTCCGCTGCCTTAAAAGCATCCCGTGTCCTTGTCCGTCAGTTTCAGAGTCTAGTTTTTTGTCTTCTTTCACGAAAGTGACGTAACTGTCTGTTTTGGAGCGCTGGTGTTTTGGACGCCGGTCTGAATATCTGACTTTACGCTTTTCTGGTTGTTCTGAGTTGATGGGGATCAAATCAGTGGGGACGCTAGGTATATCATCACTGCTTTCTGATGAGTTTTTTCTATGTACTTCAGCTTTTAAATCTGAAAAAATCATAGGTTACTAGTGCTATTACTATTAAATGTATAGCAAGGACTGTTTGGATCCTTACTAAACGGATCGAAATAATTTTAAAAAATCACGATATTTTAGTTTTATGCGGTCTGTCTCTCTTCCGATGAATACTACAGATACAATTGCAAAAAGATACAGAATAACTAATGAAGAATGGATTTTATAAGTTATGTTTATCTACTATCTATGTTATCGAAGCGGCTTACCACCGCTCTGTATGCACTCACTCCCAGCGATAACTTTCACTTCTATAGATGCGCGCTGGAGATGGAAGACCGGCAACAGTACACAAGAGAAAATCGAGAGGATCCAAGTTCTAGAAAACGTTGGAAAGGGAGAAATAAGTAACGAATATACCACAAAAAAGGAAAGGATCCCCCTAGTTATATCAGGACAGATAGGACAATATGGTGAGCTTATAAGTGAAATAAAAAAAGTGCTACTACACAACAAATTTCAAGTTGCTCATATAGGCGCTCAGGGACAAGGATTTACACCAGAACTATGGAGGATTATGATGTTGAGGCAGGAACTTATCCCATTGAAGACACTTATAGGAAATACTTATACAAAAAAGAGCGAAGTTATCAAGAAAATTGTAATGAAAGCGGCTCCGGGATGGACATCAAAGAGATGGAAAAAATAACTATAAGAACAAAGAATCAAAGCCAAAATAACAGAAATGGAGCCAAAACTACATGGGAAGAGAAGGTAATTCATATTGCAATTCAAAAAAATACAGGACCTTAAAGAAGTGAGGAAAATTAACGAAGTTCAAAATATTCGTGTCAAATGGGATACTTACAGTAAGCCGGCTACAGCAACTCAACGATTTAATTGCCAATCTTTCGGACATATTGCCAGGAACTGTTTCAAATCTCCAAGATATATGAAATGCACCTATGGACACTTAGCACGCCTATGCCCACTCCCAAAGAGTGTAATTAACAAATGCTGCAAATGTGGCGAAGGACACACATCTAATTATGTGATGTGTGAATAACATATCGAGTCCCTGGATAACCAAGCACAGAAGAATACAAGGAACAAACCAGCGCCAAGAATTAATCTCTCTCTGCGTCCGTCAGTTTTCAGAAGCACCACAAGTGGCATGTCATATGCACAAACTGCAAGAGGGCAATCAACACAGGAAAATAGTCAAACAAGTGGAGCAGCAACCACCAAATCAATATAGGCTGAAATAAACCAAGCAATGGTCTTTATCAAGTATGAAAAACTTTACAGTGCTTAAATAACTGAAAATTCTACAAGTCAACAAAGCATTCCTGAGGCTAAAACAGAATGAGCTACGCGAAGTAGTCATCAGGCAAAATCCAGACATCATCTGTCGTATCATATCAGAAACGTTTTATATGACAGAATACCAGCTTGCAAGCATTGCCAACTACAAAGAATTTGGAAGAAGAAATACTCCCAACCACAGAGGAGTAACAATCTGCATCAAGAATAGCCTAGAATGAAATCAGGCCAAGATAATCTAGCTCTGAAAGAAATAGAAGAAATGATAAACACTGCAGAGACTGTTATACCTGCAGGAGATTTTAACACTCACCACACAGCATGGGGCTGTGTCGACATTATATGTGCAGTAGAACATATTGTACTACTGAGATTCTGCCTGGGCGGAAATAAGATGTTTTCAAAAAAGTTCCATGTTCGACATATTCATTAGGAAAATGATTAGGACTCACTACGAATGCAGTTCCAGCCACAAACCAGTGACAGGAATCATGACATCAAGAATTGACCTCCCAACAAACGAACCAATAGAAAGATTGAAGTGAAAAGAAGCAAATTGGCCAAACTAGAGACGATAACTAAACTGAATGGAAATGAAAAGAGAATTCGAATGTGTAAAAGAAATGGAAGAAAAAATTAAAGAAATCACAAGAAGAATACAAGGAGCAATGGAAGACAACATCACACGAGAATGACGAATATCGGAGGACTAATCATTCTGAATGGGTTAAAAGAAATTATAAATGAAAGAAACAGGATCAAAAGAGTGTACCAAAGACAAAAAAGAGGAATTCAACTCTATGGAGACGAACTATCTGAAGAAATAAGAACAAGATTCACCGAGAACAAGTGGCACAACATCAGAAAAGCTGAAGAAAGCTATTAAAATGTATGGAAGATGCTAAAAGACAAGAAGAGAGTTAAGCAGAAGATATCACAAATAATTAAACAAGGAACTCACTTCGAGACTCAAGAAAAAGTGGATGCAATTGCAAGAAGAATGGCAGGAACACATAGGCAAAATGAAAATATGTCAGATGCAAGAACCATAGAAGATGCATATGAGAGAATAAAAACAGGAACGAATTTTTAGTAGAGGAGGAAGACTATCTAAATCCAAGAGAAGTTGTTAAATCATAAAAGGATTAAAAGGAACTAGAGCCTCAGGAATGGAGGGCACCCACAACATTGCACTCAAGGAACTACTGAAGCAAATTATAGTGTAACTACACTACATTTTCAGATTTTGGAAAAGGAACTACAAGGAACTACTGAAGAAAATGATAGTGCAAAGATACTACATTTTCAGATTTTGCCTGGAAAAAAAACATTTTCCAACCAACTGCAAACATGCTAATATCATATCTCTACTAAAACCAAGAAATTATGGAAGAAGACCAGAAAACTAAGGGCCAATATCCCTCCTGGAATCCATAGGAAAAATATTGAAGAAAATTATCTACAGAAGACTAATAAAGCCCACAGAAAGAAGAAGAATAATTCAAGAAGATCAATTTGGATTCAGAAGAGGAAGAAACTGAGAACTCTAACTAGCCAGAGTGATCAGTTGAAGATCTTATTCAACAGAAATCAGAAGAAAACAGGAATGGGCATCCTAGACATAGAAAAAGCATACAACACACTTTATTAACAAGATGGGCTTTTCAAAAGATGGACAGTGCTAAGTTGCCTCATTATTTAGTTAATATATGTGACGCTTATTTATCTAATATATTTCAAGTTTCAGCTTACCAATAGATATATAGAATACGAGAAAAATATGTGTGTAACCAATAAAGGATTTTATTTTATTTAATTAGAGAATCGAGTTTCGCCAGAGTATTGATCTGATAGGAACTTCACCGGGTCTTTGGATATTAACCAACCATTAAAGGCCAACCCCACCGACCCTAGGGTATTGACTGAAGGCGAACCGCTTCTACTAGAGTATTGATCCAGTAGCAGCTCCCAAACCAGTCTTAGAGTAATGATCTGATGCCAAACTGTACTGTGACTAAGTATTGATTAATGACTTCCTGCTCCTTGTCAGATCTAGTGCTGATTGATTCATCCACCTGTAACTCTGATTATTCCTTCTTCTTGGCGTGTGTGACTGTGTTGCCTAACGCATCATATTTTTGTTTCAATGTTTATAACATATTTATTTTTAGTAGGTATTAACAGTGGGTCATAGCAACCTTCACCAGGATTGATATTTTATTTTTATTGTACAGAAGAAGCTTATTTTATTTTGTTGTTTATTTATTCTAAATATATTTTTATTTAAACTAAACTTGTGTTTTACTGAGTCTGGTGAGAGACCACAAAAGAGAATGTATAAGACCACAGAGAGAAGAAAAACATAGGAAAATAAAACAGACTAGGCACATATTTCAATAGGATAGAAGATGATGTACGAAATAGATTAAAGAAGATAGAAGCCATGAAAGAGATAAGAAATGTAGATCAATATAATGTATATTAAGTAAAGATAGTCAAACATACAAAAGAATAGAGGAACATAGTATAAGAATTAAAAATAAACTGATTTCCCATGGTGAAATTCCATTCCACTTTCAACCATGCTGATATTGGAATTCTTAGAAGAAATAAAGGAAGATATTTAACGGTACTTCTTGGGGTAAGAGCCATCCGCTACCTGTTTACATAATTTGGATATTATCACAGTTCAGTTCACAAAACGCTATTACAAAAGTCGGTCGCAAAATCTCGTAAGCTAAACTCGCTATTTCGCAAATACTCGCTTTGATTATTAATATATTATATGTATTTATAACTAAGTAGTTCGCATCGCATTATTATTCATAAAGATTATCAAGGCAATCATTTATAGTAACCAGTATTTCCTAAAACCGCAGTTATAGTTTTCATATAAACAGTTCATCTATTCAAATCTGCAGTGTTGCCAGTAGTTCACTTTAAACATAGAAACGACATTCCGCTAAGCAATTGTTCTTGTAACTATATGTAATAGTGAAAATAGCGGCAGTGAAAAGTGTAGTGAAATATATCATATCACAGTGTTTTCAGAGCTAATGTTCAATCATCCCACATATAGATAACTTAAAATTTAAAACAGATATTGGTTAAATCAAAGATACTAGTAATAATCTTACCTATGGTACTAGTAGGTTTACAGGCTCCTTCGGTATATTCTAATTGATGGAAATCAGACTCTAGGCTTTCAGCATCAGTACTGTGCAATGGACCAAATTCTATATCATGCAGGTGAGCTAGTTTTGTTCCTGCTCTATTAGTCTGGCCGGATGATTTGCTTGGTATTATCTGCAATTCTATACCTTCCTCCTCCCTAGATAGAGATAAAATTTATTTAAAGTTTTTGAAAAGATCCAAAATTAAAGCAATGTTTAATATTATTTGCAATTAAATCAATTTAATTAAATTTAATTACAATATTAAATAGTAATGTTTAACATTTTAATAATGTTGAACATTATAACAAACTATAAATAACATTTAACAATACAAATTATTTTTATTTAAAAATAATAACAAAAATGTCAAAATTAGAGCAACAAACTGAATAGTTTTTTATTTTTAGTTATTACAACAACCAACACTTAACAAATTTATTAATGATTATAATTGTCTATCAATTACTATCAATATTTAACAGACTGTATGTTTTAAAATTACTGTCCAAAGCTCTTTTAAACTGCGGAAATAATACTAATTCCAAAAGCAGGAAAAAATCCAAATGAGGTTTCATCATATAGGCCAATAGTCTACTACCAGTTGTATCCAAAATACTTGAAAGGTTACTGTTACTGTTAAATTATGTAACAAAAAATTAATTCAGACTCCAATATGGAGGAATGGATACCTAACCAAATATTGATGGTAAAAAGAATAAATAATTAATGCAAACTTATGAAGACTGGATTAGAAAAAATAAAAATCATATTAGTCCCTCGATATCAAAACCATATAATAGAAACAGAATAGTTTTTATGCCTTGCACAATGAAATTCAGAAACATGGAATAATAATGGTAAAAAATAATAATAATTTGTGACGATTTATATTTTGCAAGAAAAATTATATTATTGATTCCTATAGATAAATAAATAATAGCCATATAATAGAGAACAAATAGTTTTTAATTTCTTGTACAATGGAATTTAAAAAAAAAACTAAAAAATTAAAAAATGATGTTAAAAATGGATAAAGAATTTGTGAAAATTTGATAGAAAAATCGTAATATTAGTCTCAAAACAATGAAACATTATTAGCTTCCCAGAGACCTATTATTATTTAAACATCATTATTTCTAAACATCAACAGACCATGGTCACTTTGATCATATAATAGATAATAATAATTTTTGATGTTTAGCACAAAGAAATATAGAAATTTAGAAAAATTATGTTAAAAAGGGATAAAGAATTTGTGAAAATTTGGAAGAAAAATCATATTATTAGTCTCTGGAGACCAACAAACCATAGCTGTGTAATAGATAAAAAACAGTTTTTGATATCTCACTGATTTCTGGTTGCACGATAAAAAACAGAAGAGGAAATGTACAAATCCAATAAGCTGAAAGTAAATAAGTATTGTTATACTTGGTTCACTATTCCCAGTCCAAACTGACTAGTGAATTTAGTAATTATTTTTTTGCAAAGTTAGTTACTTTTGACAGACTAAAAGTTGCTGGAAATTACTATACAACCAAGCACACATACTCATAGCCAATATTAATAGTAAACAAACTAGATAGTAAATAAAATAGAACTTTGCAAATTACCAACAATCAATATTTATTTATCTGCACCATATAATAAATAGTTATGTTAAATTATAACAACTAAAATATATTTTTTAAATATATACTACCCAAAATTTGATGGGTTTAGTATACATTTCCACTATTTAGAATAATTCTTCTTTTTTTTTCAAAGAAAGAAGTCTGCAATGTAGTGTACTTGAGCTATTAATACTGAGAAGTAGGAATTGTTATGTTGTAGGTTTCCGACAATGAATCTGTCAAAATATGCCCGAGCTAAGCAAATGGAGTATAATATATTCTAAATTTTTTGACTTTAGGAGATTTGTTCAAAACAGTTTCCCCCTTGTTTTTTAGTTTTTAGTTTTAAGACTAAAGACCCATAATGAATAACATTTATTGTCATTTAGAATGAAGTCATTCACAGTAGTGGATTTAACAAATTAAATGACCTCACAAAACTAAGATAAAAGATTATCAGAAAAATAAATGTAAAATCAAAAATACATAGTATGAACACACTAGGAAAACAGAAAATGAGTAGATAAAAAAGAAATCAGTACAATTGTATCAATTATAAAGCGAGAAAGAGATATAAGAATCAAAATTACCACATAGAAAAGCAGTTGATTGGAGTTGATGAATCTACATAAAGGTTTAAAAAATTAACTGGGAAATATTTTTAAAGAAAATGTACATACATTATACATTTCACTATCTGATTATTAAACTCATAATAATAAAAACAAATTATTTAGATTTCACTTACTTTTTTAAGTCTTGGGGTACATCTTCAACTTCTTCCTGTATACATTCTTTGGTATCATACATGTGATGCAGGCCATAGTTAACTAATTTCAATATTGTTAGACCCACTGTTACAGATCCGCAATAAAAATACCAAACAGTCCATGATGGTGGAAAATACTGCAAAAGATAATCAGCTGTTTACTGTCTGATTCACTTGATAAATTTCATAGACTGTTTATAAATAAATAAATGAGTTATCAAGTTATGAATGACCGAAATTAATTAACGTGTAGACTTACCACATAGATACAAAACGGGACACATAAGAGATATAACCAAACATACAAATGAAAAGTGTTACAGAAGACATCCTGGTGAGGGTCATAAAACCATCCACCAGTAAGCGAGGCCCATACTCCTTGTCTAAGAATTTCCAACGTTTGTGATCCCATTTGGGTTTCTTCTATCATTTTAAAATTAATAACTGCGTAATGTTCATTTTTGCTACATTTGCTCTATACCTTACACTAATCTACAATACTTTCTCCAAAATAGATCCATAACAACGATTACTTCCCAGGTTATCACAGTTGGTTGATATGAAGCATACTACCATTATTTATTTAACAATTGTCAATCTCTCTTACTGCAAAATTTCGTAGATAAGAAATTACAACAAATTCATTAGTATTTTTTGGAAACACACTTTTGACAACTGATATGAATAGAGGTCGAGAACCATCGATACTGCTCCCGATGGTTTATATTACCGAGCATCATCTATCGATACTGTCAATAAATGAATATTGTGCAGCAGATGTGTTATAACTCTTGCTTGTAGTACTTGCCTTTTAAAACTGATAATTTTAATTTTTAATATGTTCTTTCCCAGATAAAAACAAGAACAATAAAATCAATCTTACTGTAAAATACAAATACACTATCGATGATTTTCGATAAAATGATTGTTCTCTGATTATCATTCGTGTTCTGTGATACGAATCAAACTCTTCCAATTTCTCGGTCTCTTTTCCGATATACTTGGCAACCCGATAATATTTTCTGTTTAAAACAACCGATGAACTCAAAAAAACTTGAATTTTAAGTAATACAATAAAAAATATATTGTTATATCGAGATAATCAGCTACTATTCTTAATACCTTAATGAAATATTATAAAAGTCATTATCAAAGGCGGGAAACTATCAGGAATCCTTTTGAATAATCTATCTTTCTTTACCTGAAGTGGAATGATATTTCATTTCCTTTTTCATGGACATAACCATAATTTTTCAAAATGGAAGTGTATGAAAATTAAGATAGCAGGCATTTGTTTTTAAAAATTAACAATGTTAAATGACACTGAAGTAACATAGCATATAAATAATTTTGCAGCAAACGTAGTAGATTGTGTTGTTTAAGTTGAAAAGACATATTTATTTTTGCGAAATGGCTGAAGACTATGATACAGCTTGTAAGACTGTATTTGTAGAGGACTGGCTATGTAGTAGTAATATTTTAGGCGAAGGGGCTTATGGAGAAGTGAAATTGTTAGAGCATAGAAGGACCAAAGAGAAAATAGCCTGTAAAATGATTGATCACAGTAAATATAAAGACGCCGCAGCAAATATAAATAGAGAAGTTAGTATTCATAAATTATTAGACCACCAGAATATTATTAAATTCTTTGGTAGACGAGAAGAACCAAATAGGGAATATATATTCCTGGAGTTTGCTGCTGGTGGAGAACTGTTCCAGTTAATAGAACCTGATGTAGGTATGCCTGTGGCCAAAGCTCAATTATACATGAAGCAACTCTTTTCTGGTATTGAATACATACATAGCAAAGGAATCGCTCATCGAGATATTAAACCAGAGAACATTTTGATAAGTGCTGAAGGTGTGCTGAAGATCAGTGACTTTGGACTGGCAACTTTATTCAGGTAATAGACTAACATTAAAAATATGAGTATATTTTACAACTTTTTTTAATCGCTTCATCTTTTAATCCTCTGTTATTTATTTTTATTTTATTTTTGGTGATGAGTATGTATCTGAGAATTATTAAGGTAATCCATATTAGTCTGTTAATAATTTTTGGGGAAACCAATCTTGACCAAAGTGATTTTATTGCATTAGCTTTCTCAAAAAGTACAATTTTCTTACTATTTGCAAATTTTATTTGCATAAAATGTTATTATGAAAATATTTTACTGCTTCTGGTATAATGCCTTTAAATATTGTTTATAACTAATTTATAGTTGAACGTCTTTTGTAGCACTTCTGATTGCAAAAAATGTATTTGAAATATGATTTTTACCATTCTCTATAATTTTCTTATTAAAATGTAATTGTCAAATTTTAAATAACGTAAAAGTTTTCGTTGTTAATAAGCACAGTTTTCTTTATTAAATGATTGAATAAAACAGATATATTTTTATAGCATACTCTATTGTTTTTAGATTTAGAGGAAAAGAAAGACTGTTGGACAAGAAGTGTGGAACAAAACCTTACATGGCTCCAGAAGTGCTAACTCGTCCCTACAAAGCTCAACCAGCAGATATATGGAGCTGTGGCATAGTATTTGTAGCATTGTTGACAGGAGAACTACCATGGGGTAGCACTTATAATGACAATCCAGAATTTATAATGTGGAAAACAAATAACTATATATTAACCACTCCATGGTCAAAGCTTGGAAACACTGCCCTAAGTTTAGCAAAACAAATATTACATGTAGAATCAAAGAAACGTTTCACACTGCATCAGATATTAAACCATCATTGGATGAAGTTCAACTTCTCTACTGGCAGTTCTATTGACACTGTTGATGATAGTACATCAACACAATCAGCCAAACGTTGCAATTCTTTAATCGCAGCTGAAATAAATAATGCTAGAGACGTGCCTGTTGTTACATTATCTCAACCTAATATGATATACCGCCACAATGCTATTATGAAAGCTCTTGACAACATCAAAACTTCTGGAAAAGATCTTATATCATTCTCTCAACCAATTAAGAATGATAATCTAGTTATCCAGTTTACTCAGACCCCTATTACTAAGGATAACTTTGAGAATCTCATTGTCAAGAGGATGACCAGGTTCTACATAACTAACAGTAAAGAGAAAACATTGGAGAATCTTTGTTCTGTTTTGGATACATTCCACTTGTGCTGGAATATTGATATTAATGGAGCTGTTTCGATATCCACATGGGATGCTGTGAAGAATCAGTTGCTGTTTAAAATTACTTTGATAGAGATAGATGGAAAAGTTCTCTTAGATTTTAGACTATCCAAAGGCTGTGGTTTGCAATTCAAGAAGATATTCTTAAAATTGAAAGAAGCTATGGTTGCTATATAAATTGTTATTTGACTGAACCATGACGAATTTAACCAGTATTTGTTGTTAGTATATAATAGTTATTTTTGATACAGTATGTAAGTTTGTTTTAAATATTGATAGAATTATTAATAGGAGTATTTGTTTCTGACATTGTTTAATTTGTTCGTTTGTTGTAAGTAATAAAGCAATATATTTTTCCATGTGTGTTTTAGAAAAATTTTAGGTCCATAGAAGCTTTGAGAATTATAGTCTTAAAAAGACACAAACAAAAATAAATCTAAAATATAAACTAAGCGTTCAAATGTGAAGAAATCAAAATAGTAAGCCTCTTCTTATAAAAGTTTCACATTCATCATCACTTTCTGTCAGTATTTTTCTTTAATATAATCCTTCTAATTTGAAGAAATCAGTGATAAACCAGATATAAAACTGCTGTAGTTTTCTGGTTGAATTTATTTATTTATTTACGGGATGTCCCCATTTTTACAAAATTTAACAAAAATAAATATGCTAACCATAATACAACTACATACTAAAACTAAGTATTAAATAATGATTAAATAATTATTGTTAAACAAATGATTAAATTAAGTAAATTAGATCTTAATAAAATAGAATAAAATGAAATGAAATGAATACTCCAATGTCACTCATCTTTGATTCCTAACATACTCAGTCAAACAGTGCTTAAATCTTACAGATTTTATATCCACCAGATCATGAGATTGGCTAAAGTCATTTCCCAGGATATGAATCCTGTTAATAGGAGAAAATTTGCCATAGTTAGTGTGATAGTGTTTTATAGAAAAAAAAAGCATGTCTCTAAGAATTTTAGTGTTATTCTAAAGTTGATAAGACTTAATAAATCAGAACAGTCAGCAGTATGGTCAAGTACTTTATGGAGAAAAACTAAATCACATTTAGTTCTGTAGTCTTCTAAGGAACTGATATTTAGCCTTGACCTTAGTTCTACCGAACACATGTTCCTTAAGTTTAATCTATAGGCACAAAACTGGAGAATCTTATTTTGAAATTTTTCAAGGGTGTGAATATGGTTAAAATAGTATGGTGACCATACTATAGAATTATAAGACAGGATGTTATGGATGAAAGTAAGATATAAAATTCTATATGTGTGTACTGAAAGATCTCGAAAGTTTCGTGTGATAAAACCTAGATTGCTGTAAGCTGTATTTGACAAATTGTTGATGTGGGGGATAAATGGCAAGGAACTGTCCAATAACACTCCCAAATCTTTTATTTCAGTCACTCTGGACTTGTATTAATGTGATAGTCAAACACAATATTATTTTTAGATTTGCTAAAGGATATAACAAAACACTTATCTTTATTTAACTGGAGACCATTGGAAAGAAACCAATTATACAGGGAAGAAAGATCTTCCTGGATCCTTAGACAATCAGATAGATTTGAAACTTTAAAATATAACTTAAGGTCATCAGCAAATAGCAAAAACTGACAAACCTTTATTACCTCAGAAATATTATTAATAAACAAATTAAAGAGAAGAGGACCCACATGTGAACCTGTGGAACGCCTGAACTGACCAAGATAGGAATTGAAAGTGAACCCTTTATAAAAACAAACTAAATTCTTTCATCAAGATAACTACTTAACCATGAAAGAACCACTCAGGAAAACCAATACATCTTAATTTAAAGATGAGTAAAGAATGGATTACTGTGTCAAAGGCCTTCGAGAAATCAGTATAGATGGAGTCTACTTGGTACCCATCCTCGAAAGCCCTGATAATATAATTATGATACAAAACAAGATTTGTAGATTTAGATTTACCCTGCCTAAATCCATATTGCTCATTAATCAAGAGATTCCTACAATGCCAAGTAAGATATTTGTTTAGAATTAGTTCAAAAAGTTTAGGGATGGCAGATAACATAACAACAGGCCTATAATTTTTTATATTGTCTCTGTCACCGTTTTTAAATACGGGAGTTATATAACTGTCACGCCACTTACTAGGAAAGGTGTGTACTCTTAAAAGATACATTAAATAATACATGTAAAGGTTTGGATAGACTGTAGACACATCTTTTAAGAAATATGTAGGAATATTATCAGGGCCATAACTCAGTTTATCCGTTAGACCATTTATAGATTCAAAGACTTGAGAAAGTCTTTGAATCTATAAATGGTCTTTGAAAATTGGATAAATGGAATGTCAACAGAATTTTTTACTTTAAAATTGAAGTTACTTAAATTAACTTTGTCTAAGCGATAGACACTAGAGAAATGGCACGCAAACAAGTTTGCTATTTCCTCACTTGATTCAGCTAACAAGTCATTAAAATGTATTTGGAATTCCGTGGCTTTTATTCAAAGAGTTTATATGGTTCCAAAATGGTTTTGAGTCTGAGTGAATAGATTCCTCAATGTTGGAAATATACGATCTGCAGCATAGATCTGTTGCACTGTGTTCTAAGATCTGAAAATAAAGTATAATCAGCTGCTAACTGAGTATGTTTGAATCTAGCATGAGCAGTTTTTTTTTAATAACAAGTTTTTTTTTAAATTTGGAGAAAACCAACGAGGAAATTTTGAAGGATTATATATGTGTTTTTCGGAACAGAGTGATATTGCTTCAGAAAGAACTTCATAGAAATTATTTACTGAGATATTAATATTTGAATAATCAAAAACAATATTCCAGTCAACTGAAAAAAAAAATTATTTAGACCTGCAAAATTTGCATTAAGATAGTCAAAATATGTAGTTTTATAATCTAATTGTTTAACATTACCATTAAAACTAAGATACAAGTAATTGCCACATGATGAAAGTTATTGGGAAGCAAAGTGTCCACTGCCTCATACACTGACAGTTTCTGATAGTCTTCAATACTGTGGAAAATGAGATCCAAAAATACGCCATAGTTTTGTGGACATTCAACGAGCAAGCTCTCTTCATTCGAGTAAACCCAAGAAGCTAGTGGTAAATTGTAGTCACCAAATAAATATACAGGTACATCTGGCCTACTGTTTTTAATAGTTTCAACTGCCGAGCAATGACTAAGGTCAACTACTGATGAGTTCGGAGGAATTTATAGTAATGCTCAAATATTTTATTATGTTTATAAGGAATTAAAGGATATTAAAACACTTGGTTACAAAAAGAATATATACTCAACGATTTTATACCAAACATTTTTTGTTAAATTATTAAGAGTCTTTTAAAACACATTTTGAACAGTTCCGGATTTGAATCAATTTCAAACTGACATCACAAATGCTGTCGATGTATAATTATCACCATGGAAAGGAAGATAGGTATTTATTGAGATCTAGAACTTCTTTAATAATACTCTTTCAGATGGTATGCAAGCTATAATGTTTTCATGGAGCGTATATTCAAGTAAACATGTTAGCTAATCCACTCATCAAGATGATAAACAATTTTAGGTATAAGATCATCCATTTTCTCTTCTGTTACAAGATTTTGCAAAATGGTATTCCACTGTGCTGTTACTCAAAAACCTTATGCCAGATTGTTTAATTATCTTTCAAATACTATGAATGCCATGTAGTCATATTATTGGGGGAATCTGTGATAGCCGTATTTTAGACAGCATCTATCCATTCTCAATTAATTTTATGTCTTAATGTTTTAACTGATGTAACTGTGATAGCCATTTGATTCTCCAATTTCAATATTTTTAATCTCAGATTAATAAAAAAAATCTGCTTTTTCTCTTTTCTGTATAGACTCATTGGAATGATGCTCAAAACCATATCTGCTACTGACGATTATTAATTTCCCATTAATATCTTCAATTCGTGTTCATATAGGAGTAAATTTACATAAAGTCTGTATACTTATTAATGTAGTCTTCAATAATAGGCACTCTTTCTTCCCTTTTTCAACAACCATTCCTGTGTAAATGTATATATGTAAATATTGGTATGTGTATATAGATACATATCGCTATATTTTAAAAATGTGTCTTCTAGTTTTACTCCAATCAAATCTGACGAACAGTTATTACGTTTTCATATGCATTTACTCCTGTCAACTATCCCTCAGGCTACTATTGGTACTTTTGGGAAGGGAATATCAGGCTGAGTTGCTTTTTTTATTCTTTTTTTGAACTAAAACTGATAATTTTTGGTAAACTGCTTCAGTAATCTGAATTATATACATAACATACTCTGCATCAATCTGAAACTGTTCATTTAAAAAGAAAGCTCGTATAATTTCCAAATGCTAGAAGGTCAGTATAGGTCCCTCTCTATGATCAAGTATATCTGAAACAAAAAATAGTAATTTAAATTTTTTATATATTTCTGCCTGACATCTCAATTTATTTAATTAGCGAGAATTACCTGCTACAATAGTAGCACTAGTTTTATTTGTTTTATGTATATGAAATGGGGAAATAAATGTAAGTGCAAATAAGTTCCGCCTGAATTTTGCAATCATTGAACAGGTTTAATAATTTAAATAGGTACTTGGGGAGCTGGCTGAATAGTAACAGTGACTCTGACGAGAAAATTCGTTCCAGAAGTTAGAATTTTGCAGGAAAAACAATATTATGTAACAGAAATTCAGGTATTATGTTTAATTAGTCGTGCAATAAGATATGAGACTTTAATTTTAAAAACAACAACAATTAAAAGGTTGGAATCAGTTGATCCGTCGAATTTTGAAGATATTGTGAACAATACACACTACCAATAAGGAGAATATGGGCAGGGAACTATACTAATCATAACTAAAAAGAACTACTACGTTAAAGGAGTTTTATTATTTTATATATGGTCAGTGGACCCCTAGATATGAAAAAACTGCTGGGTACTACTGTGTTGAATTCTATGTAGTTTTCGTACATACACAACACATAACAACTTTTTCGTAGATGTATGTGTACGAAAACTGCATAGAATTCACCCAAATGCATTCTAGTGCATAGGGACAAGATTATCCCTCTCTCAAAAACGCACCCCTTGAAATGGTAGCACTCCGCGGTTTTTATATTTGGGAATTAATTGACCGTATGATAAAATAAAACTTCTTTAAAGTTGTAGTTCCTTTCTCAAGTACATAATCAATAGTCTAATATTTCGTCGTAAAATTAGAGGACCTAAATACTTTTTTTCTCTTAATTAGGATTAATTCCTGTTAATTTTTCCAGCTAAGTCGTGGGACTTTGATGTTCAGCTCTTATCTATTCTCATTTTTCTTCTTATGTACTTGTTCCTCCAGATAATGTCACGTGGGTGTCCAGATATCATTGCTGCTCAGTTAGTCTGTACTTTGACTTTTTCCTTGAGATTTCTGCTATTGGTAATGTTGACACCTAGATATTTGAAGTTCATAACTTGCTTAACACTTTGATTATTTACTTCTAGTTGGGTAGATAGATTCTGTATTTATCTATTAAGTTCTCTGTTAGTCGTAAGTGATAGACGTATAATACAAATAAACTGAGCGCTACAACATATGCCCGTCATCCCAGTGCGACAGAGAAAACTGAAGCAAAGCAGTTCCTGCATCTCTTTCTAATGGGCCGTATTTATAGACCACGTGACCTTCCCATTGGTCATTTAGGTCACGTGGTCGATAAACCCGGCCCATTAGAATACACTGACTATTTTTCGTTATCGTTAGTGTTCTCTGTCGTACTGGGGGAACAGGCTGATAGCAGCGCTCAGTCTGTTTGTATTAGGTATATGTATATGGCTTTAATGGTTTAATTTTAACCTAAATGCCAACTACTAAAATTAATTATTTGCGGAAAAGTTGGGGTAAAGGGAAAGTAGTATCTTGGTTACGTAACGTAAGAGAATGGACTGGCTGTCAGATTGAACATGACTCAGACACAGAATAATAAACAATCAAAATGTCCATTCTTTTTCTCGTTTATTATTCTGTGACTCAGACAGCTACTTCTATAGATAGGATGTCTAGAGGAATGTCTGATAATAGACAGACACGAGAAGAAGTAGGTATGAAAAGAAAGATAACTAAGATGAAAGAGGAATCTGCTGTCCATAGCTGGACACCTGTCACATTACATCTTGGTGATCACATTGGCAATAATAACTTTGGTTTAGGCAACTCGAAACCTATTAGCGGTTGTCTCTTGATACCACTCTTGGAGCCAGAATATTCTTCTTCGGCTGAATCTCTTCTTCCGGCGATCTTGCCCTGTATTTTGAGGTGTAGAAGGTTATACCTCTCTGAATGTCTCATTAGGTGCAGTATTCTTAAAAAAATTTTCAGTGCATGGCTCATTAAACTGATAGTGCGATGATCGCTACATTGTTAGCGTTTATTTTTTTCGGTATCATTATCAATATGCCCTGTTTCGTATATTTTATTGAAGAGCTTTAGAGGAGAATGTTTGCCTTTATAGTCGAGTAGTTTGATTATTTCGCTTGAAATTTCATCTGGACCGGTTGCTTTTTTATTATTTGGTAGTTGTATAGCTTTTTCCATTTCATAGAAGGATATGTTTGGACCAGTCGATATATTTTCGGTTTGTATTTCTGTTCTTTCGTCATCAAACAATTTCGCAATATATTCCCTCCACCTCTCCAGTTTCTCTTGTTCATTGACTATGATATTTCTTTGTTTATCAACTTAACTTTTTATAGTTTTCATATTATATGGTCCAGTTATTTCTTGCACCTTTCTGTACATATTAAACGTGTCATTATTTTTCTCCATTTTTCTATTTCTTTTTATAATCTCGCACAAAACAACAGGAAGAAAACATTCAAAAACATGTAAGTTTTGTGTGAAAAAACTTCTTAGTAATAGATGATGATGAGAAGAACAGGTGTCAGATGATAGTTAGATATCTTACCTTTGGCTATGCTCCACCAAGGCAGTGTTATGTAAGTCAGAAATGCGTTTAATGGAACTGATTGTGCTCTCTTGTTCTCTTTCCAAAAGTGGAAGGTCTGGGTGAAACCCCGCATGGTCCATAGTGGATTGTATGCGCCATCGTCTAGTTCTAAAAAAGAAAAATGTTAATTATGCTAAATCTGCTGTATATAATAGTATAAAAAAAACAATCTGTGAGTTGATCTGAGTTTTCGATACAGAACAACAAAACAAAGAACTTAAAATGCTAATAGTTACAACGAAATATGCGTTTCCTTTACCATTCATATAGATTCAAAACACACCAAACCTTCCAAAACTTCTGGCAACAACTAAAAAATATTATTAACGATTTCTTGTTAAAGATTAGCCTTCAAAAGACTTAATTTTAGTCGAATATAATGTCCATCAATACAATCCGTTTAGCATAAAAAGATACACATGATATGGAAGGTCCAACATAATGAACGAATAATTCAAAGACAAAAGTTATCTAATACAGTTCCAAAAATAAAAAAGCTACATAATATACAAATGCCAACATTATGCTTACCGTAATCCTTTTTATTAAGATCGCACCAATAGTAAATATGGGTCCCATCTGGCGTAACCCTTTTCGGTGGTATGATATGTTTCAGCAGCATTTTCTGCTCACTCTTCCTGCGACTTTTCGGCAGAGTACAGTAACTATAAATGCTCTTCATACTATTCAAATGATTGTAGTTCCCATTAACGTTCCTATTACATTTAGCAGTCCGTTCCTTATTTATTGCTATCTCTTCCTTATCGATATCTTTAGTCAAATTATTGTCCTGGATGTAATGTACACAAGGCAACTCCTCCTTTCCGCTGACGGTTATATACATGTTTTTAGCGTGATCGAAGCATTTCGCGTTCGCCAGGATGCAGTCCGTCTTTCTGTCGAGGCAAATAGCGTCATCTGCGAGTTCGTACTCAGGGCAGTTCGCATTTTGGGTGGCACGTTTCTTGTTGGCGCGGCACGCACGCACCGCGAAGGCACAATCGCTGTCTATGGGTCCGAGGCGAGCTCGTTCGGAACAAAGCTTGTGATCGCTACAGCGCATGCTGTACATTTCGAGCAGTGCTTCCCGGTTTCTTCTTTGAAAGCAGCCGCAGCATGCTGTATTGGATGTCGAAGCAGAACCAGTCTCTACAACAATAAATATAGGTTGTTAGATCAGCACCCAGAGACTGTTTAGGTGTATATAGATAGCCAAAATATCGGTTATTATCTTTCACAGAAGAAAAAAACCAGATTGGCAGTATGGAAAAATATACCACTAGTTGATCTACTTCTACATATATTATTTCTTAAACTTACTGTATTAAACAAATCCTTTTTTTTTTAACAACTTCTTAGGAGGTAATATTAACTTTTTTTATTGTTTTCTGACAATCTGATTCTGCTTTTACATCCAATCTCTAACTAATAATTTTGCTCCCCAAAAAGAAGTAATAAATCAAAAGAAAAATAAAAGTTTGTCTGGTGTTTTATGGAAAAAGTACAGTATATCTTTAATTTTCTATTGATATTATTGAAATATGCATTTTTTACTGTTTTTTTTGTAAAACGTTATCTCGACTATTTATGTGAATATGCATAGAAAGACAATTAATTCGATATATCGACAAAAAGCGCCATAGGATAGGAAATGAAATACTTCTTCATGGTCACTTAGACTATATATATTGACGATAAGTGCAAATTAGCAGTAGAAGAAAAGAATAAAACAAGATTGAAATGGTTGGAAAAGCACAAACAAAGAAGAAGAACGAGAAAAATACAAAGATCAAAGGCAAAAGACAAAGAAATTGTTTAAATCGAAAAAAGAATATCAAAAACTAGACGGAATTATGAACGAGATACAAACGGAAAATAAAAGACACAACTAAAAACCATTGTACCAATACTTAAAACTAGGTAACCAAAAACGGAGAGCTAATATAGCTATAGAAACAGAAAAATGGCAGAAGCATTTCGAAGAAATATATCAAGAAACGGATAGAGAAGAAGAAAGAGAAACAATAACAAACACGGACCAAGATAAAGAAGAAGAATTTACCTATATAGAAGTTAAAGAGAAAATATGCAAACTTAAAAACGTGAAAACGGCGGGAGAAGACGGAATATGTGCAGAATTTATAAAATACAGTGGTAAGGCACTATACAGACAGATTTATAAACTAATACAGAATATATGGAGCAAAGAAATAATGCCCCAAGAATGGAAGAAGGGAATTTTAGTGACAATCCCAAAACAAGAGACCATAGAATATGCAAAAACTAACGAGCAATTAATTTACTGAACGTAACATATAAAGTAATGACTGGCATAATTAAAGACAGACTAACAATGTACTTATAACAGAGCATAGGAGATTACCAGTACGGTTTTAGAAAAGGAAGATCCATGACAGAAGCTATACAGACGCTAAAACAAGTGATAGAGAAAACATACGAGTACGACGGAGAAACACATATACTTTTCCTAGAATTTAAACAGGCGTTTGACAAACTAAACAAAAGAAAATTATAAGAATGATAGAAATGACAATGCGAGGTTCCCAAGCAATATTAGACAGCGGAAGAGAAAGGACAGAAATAATAAAAATAAAAATGGAGTAAGACAACGCTCTCAACGGTACTATTTACTCTATCACTAGACAAGATAATAAAAGAGCTGTCAAACGCAGGATCTATAAACAAGAATGCAGTAGAAATAATAGGATATGCGGACGATATAACCATAGTAGCAACAGATAAAAGGACATTAAAGAAAACCTTCCAAGAAATAGAAAACGAAGCCAAACTAAGAGGACTGGAAATAAATGAAAATAAAACAAAATACATGAACGTAAGTAAAAAGAAGGAGACACAAATGACAGAACTGACAATAGATTCACACGTTTCGAAGAGGTTGACACATTGAAAATTTACAAAACGACCATAAGACCAATAGTAGTATATGCTGCAGAGACATTTACTTTAACAGCAAGAGAAGAAGAGCAACTGAAAGTTTTTGAGAGGAAGATTGTCAGAAAAATACTGTGACCAAAGAAAGGAAAACGAAGAGGATGCAAGACAAAGGATAAATCACGAAATACAAGAATTGATGAGTCAAGAGAACATAGTTAAAGCAACAAAAGCACAGATAATTAGATGGTATAGACATATAACGGGAAGAGAGAAGAGCACTCCGTTAAGAGTTATAACGGAATGGACACCACCAGGTAAAAGAACCAGAGGCAGACCTAAACTGAGATGGAGACAACAAGTGGAAGAAGACTTAAGAAGTACGGACATTAGAAATACAGAAAGGACCATCAAAGAGAGAGAAGAATGGAGAAAAGTAATGGAAAAAGCGAAGTTACACCAGAAACTGTAACACCAAACCCAGAATGGAACGACGCCCCCCACAAAAAAGATCTTCAGAAGAGGAAATACTATTTTGAGGGGTGTAATTTATTGCATTCGTCAGAGACAAAAATGCCACTGAACGTCTGAAAATCATACGAACAAGCTAAATTTTGCTGAGAATGTCAATTTTGGGACCCCAAAAAAAGGGAAACGGAAAACATCGATTTACCGAGAATGATTACGGCGTAAAAAATGTTTTAAACAAGAATTGTTGCTGAGATAATTTTGGACAAAATGAACTATTTTTTGTGCTTTTTCTATAGAATGAACCGTTAACCGTTCTCTCGGACACAACGTTTGAAGCGTCTGGTAATTTTGAATGTCAAAAATTTGTATTAATTCAACGGTAAAAATTTAATATCTTTTGGTCAGAGTATCCTATCTACAAAAAATGCATTTTAAGGGTGAATAGTGTAGCTTTCTATAAAGCTGTTAAATAAATAAACGTGCTATTTTTGCCATTTTTCACGATTCTCTTAAGATCAATAAAATTTATCACTTCCATTGGCCGCTCAATATGGAATTTCCATTGTTAGAGCCCAATCTTAATTTTCAAAACCAACATGAAATTTTGAGTGTTGGCAACAAATATGAGGCATTTGAAATATGTCTAAAAAAGGCCGAATTTAAACTTTCATATTACAAACGATCTAAAATATTTAAATGAAAACATGGAAATTCCTCGGCGACTGATCAATGAAAGTATTAAATTTTATTGATCTGTTATTCAGTGAACAGCTAAATTATGGAATATTAACATTATTTCGAGAACCGTCAAGTTTCGAGGGAAATCCCGAAACAGGTCGATTTTTGTTATAAAATACTCATCTTATAACGTACATGGAATAGGGATGATGTCAACGGTGTAGGTGTAGTGACGTAAACATTAATTTTTTAAATAGAAATTGGTATAATGCGACACCTCATTTAAACGAGAATTTAGTTCTCTATTTAACGGCATTATTTTTAACTAAAATATTTTTTTAACGGTACAAAAACAGTTTTTTTTTATTTAAATTCAACTGAATTACAACTATTGATTTAATTCATAATGTACTTTAAAGTAACCAAATTATGCATAACAACTATTTTAAATTAAATGTTCGAAATGCCATCTATTGGTTCCTGCCATGACTTTCTGAAGTAAATACTTAAAAAAGCAAAAATAAGTAAAAATAATAATGGACACAAAAAATTATCTCATAAACACTAAAACTTTTTGTCAAATGTTAATTCAAGCAAATGATAGTGGCATAGTTACTGTAATATTTATTGACGTAAATGTTTTGATTTTGTGAATTGTCATCAGTTGTCAATTGTAATTTTTACTTTTGAATACTAAATTATGGCTCACCTAAATGAAACACAATGCATAGAAATATTAATTCTTAGCGGATATGGAGATAAAAAAGAACACAGAACGAGGTATGCAATTTATTCAACGCAAAATATCCAGACAGACCCATCAACCAGCCAATCAACAGTAAGTAAAATAGTCCGAAAATTTGGAGACACTGAGCACGTTAACATATTCCAAACGCTGGGCGTCCTAAAATTAAAGACAATGTGAAACTTGATATTTTATTAAATGTACATGACAGTCCTCACAGTAGTTCAACACAAATGGGTGAATATGCTGGAGTTTCCCAACGATCGGTATTACGTATTTTAAAAAAAGAAAAATACCTTCCCTACAAAATTCAACTACATCAGCAATTAAACGACGACGATCCCGATCGCCGGCTTCAATTTTCTAAAATTATGCAGGATTTATGTATCCGCAAACCCGATTTCATCAATTAATCCTTTTTTCCGATGAAGCCACATTTTTTTATACATGGTACCGTGAATCGTCAAAATTGCACCTATTGGAGTCAAGAAAACCAATATTGGATGACTGAGTCACACACGCAATACCCTCAGAAAGTAAATGTATGGGCAGGGATCATTAATGACAGAATCATTGGCCCTTTTTTCTTTAAAGAAAATCCAACAGGAGAACGTTATTTAACTTTTTTGAGAAATCAACTTATACCTGTCCTTGCTAACATGTATCCAAATGCCAATAATTCAAATTTACCTAGTGAAAATATCTGGTTTCAACAAGATAGGGCCCCTTCGCATTACACACGTGAAGTACGTCAATTTTTAAATCATTGCTTTCCCAGGAATTGGATCGGAAGACGAGGTTTGATAGAGTGGCCAGCAAGGTCGCCAGATCTAACACCTCAGGACTCTAACAGGACTTAAAAAATGGAATTATTCATGAAATGAGTCTAATTACTCCAGAAGTCATCCACAATATACTTGATGAATGTGTCCGTAGAATCGCATATTGTCAAGAAACCGATGGATGGCATTTCGAACACTTAATTTAAAATAATTATTATGCCTAATTTGGTTACTTTAAAGTATATTATTAATTAAATCATTAGTTGTAATTTAGTTGAGTTTAAATTAAAAATAATTGTTTTTGTAGCCTTAAAAAAATATTTTAGTTAAAAATGTAATGTCGTTAAATAGAGAATTTAATTTTCGTTTAAATAAGGTGTCACATTATGCCGATTTCTATTTAAAAAAATTAACGATTACGTCACTACATCTACACCGGTGACGTCATCCCTACTCCATGTACGTTATAAGATGGGTATTTTATAAAAAAATCGACCTGTTTCGGGATTTCCCTCAAAACTTAAAGGTTCATTTGCGTCAAAATGCAAAAATTGCATACGAAAGCTGCACCCTTTACCTTTAAAACCCATTTTAATGTTTGTCGATAGGACACTCCGATCAAAAGATATCAAATTCTTGTAGAGTTGGTATAATTTTTAATTTCACGCGCGAAAATGACAATTAAAATCGTTGATCGCGGAGACAACTGAGAGAAAATAATTTTTATTCAAAAAACAAACAGTTTTCAGGAAGTTCCAACACCTTGTATAGTTGTCATTATATAAAAACTGAAACTTTGTCGATATTCATATACTTCTTCTTGACCAGAACGTTATACTACTATAATATATATTCTAAACAGTTTTTCAGTCGTATTTTTACGAATAATTCATTTGAAATACACGAATTATATGATATACCTACCATCTCTAAGATCCCCTGCTTCGATCTCGCTAACCCCATTATCGATTGCATCCAAGCCTTCACTCTCAGATCTGGCCTTCACATCCAACTTCGACTTCCATCCTCCTCTAATAAAATTGTTGATATTAGCACTGGGATCGCTGAGTCGCCTTTGATTTCGATATACATAGAAATCTTCGGGATCTTCTTCCCAATCAGAGTCCCACATATCTGTAGCGCAGAATCCTGGTTCGGAGGTAGGAGTCTCCACACCGGACCCCTTGGGTTTGGTAACCGCCATTTCTGCGTGGCCCTTGCCTTGCGGTCCTTTCATCCGGACGAATTCGCATCGTTGTGCCGTTGAAGAAGAAAACAAACCGAACGTCATCCTTTGGGCCATCTTTGTGCTTAGACTCGATTGCTAGAACAAGAATAATTTGTTATTTACAAATTTGTTATTACAAATATAATCAAACGAGAAAATAAACCTTTCAAGATGGAACTAGTTGCCACAAAAGCAGAAAAAAAAGAAAAGGAAAGACTTAGAAAAAAGAAAATAAAGCTGGAACGTGAAGAAGACAATGACTTTATTTGTGACGTTTGTAAATAAACTCGGTGTGAAACTTTCTTTTTCTACGATGGCAATAACGTTTTTATTTTGAAAATACATTTTCATTTAGTATACAAATTCAGTTAGATATTGCAAATTTTGCCAGCGCGCTTCAATTTGAAGTTTCTTTCTTAAAAAACGGAGCACAGACAATTCTTCTCTCAACTTTTCCGTGGGAATAAACAGAAGTTTTTGTGTCTATATGTATAAATGGATAAAAATATATCCATGTCGTCACCACGAGAACAGAAAATTGATTGATCAACATCCAGCCTTCTTCGTCCAAAGTTGAACATAGGTCTCCCCTAATTTCTTCCAGTTCTGTCGGTCTTAAGCTTCCTGCAGCCAATTCTCAGCAATTATTTTGACAAATAATTGCGAATATTTATATACTGTAGCATTATTGGTATGTTTAAAGGAATAAAAATAAAGAAGTAAATAAGTGCTATTCATTACAATAATACACCATGTTACGAGTCGATAGCAACGACGATAAAAGTAGATATGCTGCACTTACAGTTGCTTTATTGTTAATACCTGGTTCCCCTGGTCGTTCATCGCTGAAGCTCAGGTGTAATTTGAGGCTAAAAACAAATCGTTCTACAAAATTGGCAAAAAAACAAATTTTTAAAGAAACATTTGAATCGATTTATTATTTCAGAAGATCAGAGTTATGACTACGCTGGAGTTGTGATTAAAAATGGTTGTTATATTAGTTAGGTCAATGACATTGTGACACGACTTTGAAACATCCTTTGAAGTGGTCATAAAAAACCACCAAATGTGTGAAGAAATTGAACCAAAAATGGAAGAAGATTCACTCGTATGGTATACGGATGGATCTAAGATAGATGAAAGGGCAGGAGTGGGAGTTACTGGGCCCAATTTCAGGAATCTAAATCTAAATCTCTTGGAAACGCCCCAACTATCTTCCAGGCAGAAATACATGCTATAGACATAAATGCCCAACTATCTTCCAGGCAGAAATACATGCTATAGACATAAATGCCCAAGAATATCTCAACCCAGACACCCGTAGGGCAAAAGTCTTTATTTTATCAGACAGCCAAGCCGCCTTAAAGGCTCTAAAGTCATTTACATGTGGGTCAAAGTTGGTTTGGGACTGTAAACAATCTCTTGGAAACGCCCCAACTATCTTCCAGGCAGAAATACATGCTATAGACATAAATGCCCAATAACGTCTCAACCCAGACACCCGTAGAGCAAGTCTTTATTTTATCAGACAGCCAAGCCGCCTTAAAGGCTCTAAACTCATTTACATGTGACTCAAAGTTGGTTTGGGACTGTAAACAATCTCTTGGAAACGCCCCAACTATCTTCCAGGCAGAAATACATGCTATAGACATAAATGCCCAAGAATGTCTCAACCCAGACACCCGTAGGGCAAAAGTCTTTATTTTGTCAGACAACCAAGCCGCCTTAAAGGCTCTAAAGTCATTTACATGTGAGTCAAAGTTGGTTTGGGACTGTAAACAATCTCTTGGAAACGCCCTAACTATCTTCCAGGCAGAAATACATGCTATAGACATAAATGCCCAAGAATGTCTCAACCCAGACACCCGTAGGGCAAAAGTCTTTATTTTGTCAGACAACCAAGCCGCCTTAAAGGCTCTAAAGTCATTTACATGTGAGTCAAAGTTGGTTTGGGACTGTAAACAATCTCTTGGAAACGCCCCAACTATCTTCCAGGCAGAAATACATGCTATAGACATAAATGTCCAATAATGTCTCAACCCAGACACCCGTAGGGCAAAAGTCTTTATTTTATCAGACAACCAAGCCGCCTTAAAGGCTCTAAAGTCATTTACATGTGAGTCAAAGTTGGTTTGGGACTGTAAACAATCTCTTGGAAACGCCCCAACTATCTTCCAGGCAGAAATACATGCTATAGACATAAATGCCCAAGAATGTCTCAACCCAGACACCCGTAGGGCAAAAGTCTTTATTTTATCAGACAGCCAAGCCGCCTTAAAGGCTCTAAAGTCATTTACATGTGGGTCAAAGTTGGTTTGGGACTGTAAACAATTTCTCAAGAAGCTGGCGGAACGCAACAATGTAACTGTGATGTGGGTGCCAGGTCACAAGGAAATTTCAAGAAATTAGGAAGCTGACAGCCTCTCAAAAGGAGCTAATACCCCATTCCAGGGTCCGAAACCCTTCTGTGGACTATCGAAAAGCCACATCAGAGAGGAACTCCGTATCTGAGAACTCAATCAACTAAGATCTTATTGGTCTAACACACCAGAACAAAGGCAAGCAAAAAGGCTAATAAAAGTGTCGCCTACTGCAACAAATCGCCTTCTTGAAATGAGTAAAAAAGATATCAAAATGGACACTGGCCTTCTCACTGGTCACTGCCCTCTGAGATATCATCTCAAGAAGATGGGCAAATCAGATAGTGAGAACTGTCGTTTCTGTCACAATGAAAAAGAAATGACAGAACATATACTATGAGGAGAGGTCTAGGTATTTAGAGTATACTAAATTCCTAGGAGAGGTCAGTCTGGCATCCTCTGACATAGGAAACAAGTCATCTAGGAAGCTAATCAACTTCATCAGAAGTATTGACATTCTAGAGTTTAACTGAATTAAGGTATGCACAAAAGATCTCTATAGGTCTAAGTGCGGTGAGGCCTTATGGCCTTAACGACCTCACATAATCTATAATCTATCTATCTAGGTCAATGACTTATTGTTAAATGTAATACACGATAAGAAAAAGAAGAATCATTAGATTTGTTTAGAAGTATAGAAACATCATAGACATATATATTATCATAGACCGAGCATACCGTCCACGCGTACTGAAGACAAGATCTCTTGCGGTTGTTCGATCTGTCCCTCTCTAACGCATTTCAACTCTTCATTCTCCCTCTCTCCCTCGCCAAAATATTCTTACTTGATATAAGACAGAGACACAACGAACAACGAAAAAAAGATGGTGTCATCACTTAGCTATACAGACTGCTCAGTGTATAGAGTATCTATATAAATATATGCGTCTATGGAAAAAATATAATTGTGAACTTAGAGCTGATAGAAAATCAATTACATTACAAAAAAATCTATAGTTAATCACTTACCCTGGCATCGTATACTTTTTTGAGGGCATCATATCTAATAGAACCTAAAAAAATAACTCCCTGAATGGTTCCAGCTCGATCTGCTGCTAACAGTTCAACACAAACCATCTCTCCATCTCGAACTAGTATGTCATGGAATACTTCATCAAAATTGTCCACCTATAAAATAGATTTCAGTAAAAAGTGCTTTTAAAACAGCTTTATATCTAGGTCATGCAAGTATGCTATGCAAGTCCGTCTTGTATGGCATATCTCTTGCCTAGAACGATCTGTTTACATCAGAAATTTTTTGGTGCAATTTTGAGACACCACTCACTATTGCCAATAAAAGAAATATATCGAAACATTAACTTTAGATATTTCACTTGGAAATTTTAGTCCAACATTAAACATTAAAATATAAATCACAAATGATTACACCCAATAATTAATATTAACATTTACCATACATGTACACTTACGGAAAGTCTACTCCCGGCATTATCCCTTTTATCTACGACTTACCATGAAACAAATATGCGGATAGGTAATCTCCTCCACTTCTCCTTTGGTATCCATCCGTCTTCTACTGGGAGATGCGTACACCTTTTGGGAATGCCGCTTCAGCACTTGGAGTTCTTTAGGACTGGTTCTAGTGCAGATGGCTAGCGTTAATGTATACTCGAATTGATGAATTATAAGGTTCAGATACACCGTTTCTTCCCAGTCGATGTCTGGATCTCCAATCGGTAGTTTTCTGCTGTCTTTTCGAAATACATCCACTTCGGTCTAAAAAAAGAAAGGTATACGAATTAACAAGAAAGACGAAAAGAACAAAATTTAAGTAAGTAAAACAGTATTACATATATCCTCTTTCGAGTGGATTGAAGAGAACTGTCGAAACAAACTGATGGTCCCATTGGTCAGAGAATAAGAGAAAGAAGAAGACCCAGAACAATTTGATGAACCTAATGAACGATAGACTAAAACGGTCACCGAAATTGTTGTTTAAAAAAATAGTTATACAAAATTGATAAGGTGAATGAACCATGGAGCAGAAAATGCGAAATAGAATAAGAGACTACCATACACAACCTCTGCCATTGCAATTTACTAAGTGATACGAGGCAGAAATTAACTGATCAACTGAGGATTGAGCTAGAAGAGATTCTAAAAATACCAATGAGGAAACTGTTGGCATTCGTTGAGGTCACAGAACTTATTGGAGTTTGTTAGAAGAAAGCAAAATATGGTACGCAAATCTTAAGCCAAGTGCCAGCGATTATTGTGCCTCACCTGAACTAAGAAGAAGAAGCCATGGTATCTGTTAATTGGTTAAAGGTTTCTAATGGAAATGTGGCTATACTGAAGAAATTTACGTGATGGATAAAATAAAAAGGAACCGATAAGGAACTTCTGATTATCATCATCAGTAGTACCATAGTCCTAGTTAAGCCTTCCTATAAGTCTTTTTTGCGTCCTCCCTGTCTATTGCCAATAGTTGCCAATTTGCCTCTTCTACACAATTTTTCTACCTCAATATTGGTCTGTCCCTACTCAAATTTTCCACAGGAATTGATAATAGGATATGAGATGTATCAAAAACATTATATGAAATGTTAATACGTTATGTTAAAATAACGTTTGATCATAACAGCCTGTATAACGTGTTGCCAACAATTAGATGTGATGTATCAAGTTTTTAACGAGCACGTTATGAAGCATCTATTCTTAAAACCGTGCTCAAAACGATAAAGTAAAAGAAAGTATTGTCTTGCGCGACAAGAATAATACTATACAGAAATTGAATAAGTTAGAGAAAGACAGACGTCAATAACAGGCAGCGAAGTACGTATTTTGTTCAGCGCACATCTGATACCACGATTTTATTTGAAACTTCCCGGCCCATGTGGCGTTCTTCTTGTGCATTTGAATTATTTTATTTTTGCTTTTCGTGTTGTCTGTTGTGTGTACAAAATGGCTCAACAATTAAAAAAACCACCAAAAAATGTTATTAAACATGAAAGTTTAATAACATTTGTTGACGGGGAAAACAAAACCCAACGAAATAAATAAAATAAAGTTGTGGCAGCAATTTTCCGAAAAAGTAAATGCACGTGGTAATGGACCACCGAAATCTGCGGAGCAGTGGAAGAAGGTAAATAAAATTATTTTTAATTAGTCCAATCAAAAGCTTTGAACTGAAATCAGAGCTGCAATATTACACAAAAAAATATTGATTAAAAAAATTCAGAGAATGGAATCTACTAATGAGATGCATTGATTATCCTTCTATTCAATATTTTATGAAAGAAATAATAAAAAAATATGTAAAATAAAAGGGTACAAAATCGGAGTAAAAAATAATTTATACTATGCAGACGATGCAGTGCTAGTTCCTAACGGAACCCGGAAACTATCTGCAACGACTTTTATACCAATTTAAAATAACAGCTAAATCTATTAGCATACCTTCGGCGTGTAAGCTTGAAGTAGATCGAGTAATTAATAGTTAATAATAAGTATCAAGCAAGAAATGAAATTTAACTATTAAAGTATATACCTAACTATCAGATTTTTTGAAGAATCCACAAAACTGGTATAACACCTAGGTGACATATAATGCTGAAACTAGACCAAAACCATCGAAAACTACAAGGTCTACTGTAAATAAGCTGGAAAGACACTTTGACAGGACAAACCCTACACGGTGGACAGATTCGATTAAAGTTATAAGGATCGAATCGTTTTGTAATGCCCCTTTGTTTGCTTCTTCTCGATCGACGATGATATACAATAAAATGTTGAAGTTGTGGAGTAACAATTATAATTTTATTGGCAGCTACTAATAATAATTACACTATAGATGTTGGTTTGGTAACTTTCTACAATAGACTGCGCTCGAATGAGCTCAAATCCCCAATTTATAATTTCACAAATAATGTATACCTCAGCACAGGGGTTAATGCTTATATCATACTAACAAACTTTGAACCATGAGCTGACAAATATAATTTAATCTAGGCCATAATTGCAATACTTAGGAAGTTCAATTTGGAAATATATTATTCGACAATTTATTAAATGCAGGTTTGAGGTGAATTGACTTTAATTATTAAAATATTACTCGATATAGTTTTCACAATTATTATTATTATTATTATTATTATTATTATAATATAAGCGAGGGCAGAGGAACTAAGTCCCTATTATGCCCAAAAACCAAGAAATTTCATTAATCACCTACTAGTAAATAACAAAAATTACAACTAAAAGAAATAAAATTACAATTTTTGGTTTAAAAGAAAAACAATATTTTAACTATAATATAAAACTGTCGAGTCTGTTTTTGAACGAGTTGGTAGAGGAAGCGGAGACAATGTTGTCGTTGAGGTTATTCCAGCACTCAAAAACTCTATTTGGAAGAAAGTTCTGTCTTTGTCTTATAGAAAAATTTTCTTTCTTTAGTTTATATTGATGACCTCTGAGGCGTTCATCTTGGTTTATGATAAATATTTCCTCGAGGTTTCCAAAATTGAATTTTAGTATTTTGAATGTTGTAATTAAGTCTCCACGTTGTCGGCGAAGTTCAAACGTAGTGAGGTTTGCCATACTAAGTCTTTCTGCATAAGACGGTCTTCTCGGTCCCAAAGAAATTCGAGTGGCTTTTCTTTGAACGTTTTCCAACAGAGTCTTGTCTCGAACCAGATCGGGATACCACGTTGGTCCAGCGTATTCAAGTATGGGTCTTACGTACAAAGTGTAAAGTTTGCAAAATAATTGCATTGAAACTCCCGAAAAACACCTCCGAATAAGATACAGTCTGGAGTTTGCACGTTTACAAATAGAGGTAATATGATCGGACCAAGTTAGGCTGCTGTTCACAATAACACCAAGATCGTTATACGAAAACACAGATTCTAATGGCTGCCCGTTAACAAAGTACGGCACAAGTGGGTTATTTTTGCCAATTCGAAGCACTACACATTTTTCCGCGTTTAAGGGTAGTAACCACTGGGTACTCCAAATTAAAATAGAGTCCAAGTCCATTTGGAGGGTTAGCTGGTTTGTGTTTGGATTGGCATATATTTTTGTGTCGTCAGCGTAAAACGATATTTTACTTGAGACATAATAAGGAATATCGCTGGTGTAAACCGTAAAAAGCAGAGGTCCAAGGACAGAACCCTGAGGCACTCCACTTTCCACTAACCTGTCCTGTGAGAAAGATTCGCCAACTCTAACTTTGTAATATCGATCTGTCAGGAAATCATCTATCCAACGAAGTAAAGTACCGCGAACTCCGAAATGTTCTAGCTTATGTAGAAGTCTGCGCTTAGGTACACGGTCAAAGGCTTTAGAAAAATCTAGATAAACAACGTCGACCGGCTGCGAACTGTTAAGGGATGAGGTCCAGTCGTTAACACAGTGTAGGAGATTAGTTAGAGTAGATTACACGATTACAGTTAACAGCAGGTAGATTACCATCATTTAATTCTTTAGTAAATACCTGTGAAAATGCTAAAGAGAGAGTTTCGGAAGATTCTTTGTCAGAAGAGCATAGAGTCTGGTTGGATTTTTGAAGTAGCGGAATGGAAACTTTAGATGTCATGTCTACTACCGACTTTTCTGAAGTTGACACTGAACTCTCTCAAATCGACTGGCATTTATTTTTTGCAGACTTAAACGACCCCTCATTAATGTGGACTGCATTTCTCGATAAAGTCCACAATATAATTTCTACAAATACTATTTTCCGTAAGAGTTATAAAAACAACCTCAAACCCTGGATAAATCGAACAGCAATTAAACAAATCAATCACAAACGACATCTATGGCGAAAATTTATACACACCGGGCTTCTTAGTGACTTCCAAAGCCACCGCAGATTTTCAAATAACTTAAAAACATCTCTAAAAACCCTAAGACAAAATTTTGAAGCAAACGTTATTGAAAGTGGTAACATTAAAAAAGTCTATAAATACATACGTACATAAGTCTATAAATACGTACAATGTTATTTTTGCGGGGTAATATTTGATTGAACTGGATGTGAGCCATTATAACTGCATGATCTGACTTTCCTATGGGAGAACTGACTTCGAGAGATGAAATCAGCTGTTCGTCATTAATAAGCACTAGATCTAAAGTAGAAGGTTGGTTATTATTCCTAAATCTAGTAGGTTCTGTAATGAGTTGTATCAGGTTTGAATTTACTACAAAGCTTTTAAATAAATTATGAGCGTTTTCGGCGTCAGATAATGAAGTTATTGGCCAGGTGATCTCTGGGAAATTAAAATCTCCAGTAATGATGAGATTATCAAGAGATGACAGTTCTTCAAGTTTTGTGAAGAAAACATTATCGTGTGCAAGTAGTGTATTAGGTGGACGATATATACATACTAGATTAAGGCAAAAAGAATTTTTAGTAACAGATAAGTGAATTGCATCTATTCCAGTAATATCTATTAGCTTGAGGTTAATTTTGAAAGTTGTGGTAATAATATTGGATAAATAAATGCATACACCGCCACCCACACGATTTTCTCTGTCTTTACGATATATTGTATATCCATTTATATTAACAGAAGAGTCTGGAATTGTGGGTTTGAGCCAGGATTCGGCAATACAGATAATGTCCGGTTTAAGAAGTTGCACTGTGCATACAAATTCGTCAAACTTAGCGGAAAGTGAATCTAAATTAGTATATAGAAATAGCCAGTCATTAAATTTGTTGGTAGAAAAATTATGAACGAAATTTCGTGATTCTGGGAGTGCCATTGATGTATTTA